CTAACTTTATTTCATCCAATCTCAACTTCCCCTTCAACCACCGTTTTCATGAAATCACCACACCAAACATGAAATATTTATACCAACTTGTAGAGAAATTGATGTAGGTAAATTTTCTATTTCACACTTTAGTCCAAAAACCTAATAAAATGGCTAAAAATGAAAAATAAAGCTTGCTCTCCTTGGCTATGGAGACCCACGTTTTAGAGAAGAAGATGAAGAAAATTCTCGACTTTTCTAAACAAAAAACTCTTTTTAAAAATATTTAAAACCCTTTAAAATTCATTTTAGTCCAAAAGTTATTTTTACCCTTAATGAATCAAAATATCTATCATTTTTCCATGCTTCTATCACCATTCTCATAACATTAAATAAATATAAAAAATCATATTTATTGATTTTCATCTTTGCCCTTTTAATTTTCCAAAATTTCAATTTAGTTACTTAAATTCCACTATTCCACTTTAACATTGAAAATCCACTTACTTCCACCGATCCATATTAAATTCTACTGATTAAAAATATAAATATAATATTTCTAACCCCATACTATTATCCTTCAAATTTTTGTAAACTTTTAATTCGATCCGATTAACATAATATTTTACGAACTTTATCGCTAAATATCCCTTTACACAAACTCCATACCAAAATCTGAATTCAATAGGATGCCCTGCCTTGATGTATGGGATGTGCTGAACAACGACGGAGTTGCATCCATATTGATGGAGGCAAAAAGTGAGCATGAAGCGGCAAGGACGGTGGTGGAGGTGGCCACTGCCTCGTGGAAGAGGAAGTTTCCGTCTTCGAAAGTGGATGATTGTACGGTGGTTTGTCTCTTCCTCCAAAACTAGCGACATCCAAGTTTCTTGCCCGACGAGGCTTAAATTAATTGGTCGTCCTCCTTAATTATATAAAATTGGTGGATATTTTGATCATATATTATAAATGAAATTATGCCATCAATCAAACTACCTGATAAGATAAGCACATATATTGTTGATAAAATCCAAAAACTTCCATTGGATACCCTCAAACTTTTTTTTTTGACAATAAGATACCCTGAAATGTAATGCCATCAACAAAGTGCTTTATTAGATAACTTCTTTGTAAAGCTAGGCATGAAAATGAACCTTCTTTTGGAACTATTATCAAGGAAACTCCCCTTTGTCCCACCATGAAATTTCATTCAAGATTGTCTTAGGAAAAAACAACCCAAATATGGTTACTTGACAATGATATCCTCAATAACTTTTTTTTCTTCAAATTAATTCAACACATACATAATTGAAAATTAATAATAATCACTTGAATATTAACGTTTAAATTTTATTTAACGTAAATTATATATCGATTTTATTCATATTTATATCTCACTTAAATTTGATCATTATTGGATCATACCTAAAGTTATTCATATTTATATTTTTTTTCTATATTTTATTTGGCCCCACACTTAAATTTAATTAAATCTCTTATTTTCAAAACATATCGATTAGATCTCTAAAAAGAATTAGAAGTTTTCATCAAATCTCTTTAGAATAAGTATAAAGTAATATATATTTAAATATAATTCTTAATTATTTAATAATAAAACTTATATCTTTGTCAATCCTAATGCTCGGATCTGAAACATCAAAATGTAATAACAATTTTTCGAGATTGTTTGATTTATGCTTAAATCTTTAAAAGTATAACCACTTTAACGGTCAACGTTAAATCATATTATATGTTTTTTGGTTCAATATCATTGTCGTGACCCCAACGCTATAGTTAAATTTCACCAATAATATTGATAAAATGTCATTGATGACGTCAATATCCCACAGAGGAAAATTAAAAGTGGGAGAAGAGTGCGGGCAAGAGATTCTACTTTATGTCACCATTCATTTAATACGATTCCAAAAGATTCAACGCAACAACTTGCCTCCCTGTCTTGATATTTTCAATGCCACTTGGTGCCTATATTTACATTAAAATAATATTTTATACTAATATTTATATAATTATAATTGAGTTTTATTATATTCGGTTAAAACAATTATATTTTAAAATTAGTATTTATAAAAAAAAGTTTTTTATATTATTTTTATAATTCAATCAATATTATATATATATATATATATGGTTGATTCAAATGATAAACAAATGGATATTACTTAAGCATGTCTTGAGTTCAAGTCATTGTGTATGTAGAAAATTAGGAGTTAAGAGACTCATTTCACTAAAATCAGATGTGACGGGTCGACTTGGATTAATCAGGGAGAAGCCTAAAACCGGGAGGGCAACTAAAAAGATCTTTTATATATATATATAAAAGGGATAATTATATTGTAATCCTTGAATCAATTTTTTTTATCTTAAATATGAGCATGATTTGACTTTATCTTTTAAAAACTCAATCCAATCCGAACTCGTTTTTTTTAAACAACCCTATAAAATTGAACCAAGTGAAAATTCATTGAATTCAAATTCAATACTCATGCTAAATCAGAAAAACTAATACTTTATTTATTGATCGCTTATATTCAAATATTAAATAGTATTATCTTTGTTTCAAATATTATTACATTTACATGTTATACATATAATTTAAAAAAAAAATCAAAACCTACATCATTTAAACAAAGCTATGTAAGATCGAAATATCATGGTATTAAATTATGAACGAGATACTAAAATGAAATAAAAATTAAAGTTTTTAACGATAAATATTAAAATGAAATAAAAACTAAACTTTTGATATGTTTTTGAAAAATAAAATAAAAGTGTAATACTGAAACGGATCAAAATTAATAATGTAAGTACTAAACGCATAATTTACCTAATTTAAATCTTATAAACTTGTGGATTGTATTTAAAATTACCCATTCATGGAGTTATACTTATATAATTCAAAAGAAAGTAATAAACGCTTACCTAGAATATTAAATCATACTATATAATTTTCCTTCAAAATTATTTTGAATACTCCCTTCGTCCCACTTAAACGGTCCATTATTAATTTTTTATAATCATTTTTTTAACTTTGATTTTTTTTATTATTTAAAATTTATTATTCATAAAAAATATGAAAAAATATGTTTAAAAACATTTAATTAAGTAGTTTTGAAATATGATTTTAGTCCACCAAAAATACAAATACAACTCATCGCTTGCTCCTGTACAAATCATCCCTTCTTTTCGTGAAAATGAAATGAGGAAGAAGAGTGTGAACTGGAGATTCATATTCTGTCGACCACTCTTAATTGTGATAAGATTCCAACAGATTCAGTCAATTCAAATACTAACCCACACCACACTTTTCAAGATAAGGGACGGCCGGTGGGACTGGGACATAAGATATTTTAATTATTTACTTAAATTTACATTGACCATACCATTTTATTTTTCTTTTAAAAAAACTATTAAATACTTAAAATAGGTCATTTACTACAAATATAATGTTTTATAGATAAATTTTAAATATAATTCTAATCCTACTACGGGGAGGGGAAGGGTGAACTTTAGGGGGATGTAAGATAGTAGGCTGCCCCCAATACTAGGTTGAGAGCAACTTCCGTAGGAGACCTCCGAATTATAAAATCCCCTCCATGTGACTTGATCCCACGACCTCAAGGTTAAGAACCTTGTGCTCTACCAACTGAGTTGGATGATCATTTCAAAAATAAAGATTTAATTGAATTACACTGTCATCTAGAGTTGATTCGGGTTTTTCCACTCTAAACTCAAATCCTACTTGGTCTTATCCTCTAAAACCGACTCGACTTTAACTCAAATTTTTTCTTTTAAAAAATAAAAGCTATAAAACCATGTCAAGTTGAAACTCGTTGGATTGAAATCTCACACCCATCCTTATTTATAATCGAGATTTTGCTACTATTATTTATTCTCAAAGTAAGTATTAAGTATTACATTTTGTTTTTTCAAGCAGTATCAAAAAGGGATTTATCCCAAATTTCTAAACATTTTTTCTCGCAGACATAAATTTGTTCCTAAAATATGTTATATACAAAATACATACACCAGAAAAGTTGTTTTTTATGTTCTAAAAAGTGTTTTAAATGTATAATGCCTCTAAAATTATTTTTTACATTTTCAATTTTTAAAAATTATTAGTGTCATATATAAAATGATTCTATTCAAACAAAATAAATTTGTTATTTTTTTTCAAGCATAAAATTGACGAAAATGAAAAGAAAATAAAGATGATAAATGTCGAGGATAGTATTTTACCTAGGGATGGGCATGGGTTGGGTTTTTGGTCTATCCGATCCGATCCGACCCGAAAATTTTACATCATTCACTCGATCTAACCCGACCCAAAAAATATATACTCTTCACTCGACCCGACCCGACCAAAAAAATATATACTCTTCACACAACCCGAACTTGAACCGACTTTTTGAGATAAAATTTGAACTCGACCCGACCTGCAATAATAAAAAATATTATTTTTATTAAATAAAAACAGTGATTTAATTGAAAAAAATAATATATAGATGGTATATTATTATAATTATTCATAAATATATAATATAAAATTGAAATTTTTTCAGTCTGGATCGGATCGACTATTTTTCACCCTAAACTGAAACCCGATCCAAACAACACATTTAAAAAACTCGACCGGACCCGAACTGAATTAAAAAAAAAACTCAATCGTATCGGGTCATGTTAAGTCAGAAACCCTCAGATTCGGGTCATATACCATCCCTAATTGTACCCTATATGAATTTGAATGTAGACGGGTTTCCAGCCTCGAAAACGAATAGGGAAAGTAAATCAGTAGCAAATAGCAATTGCGTAATTGATAATTCAACTTCGGGGGGTCCCACGAAAATCAAGTGGGCCACCACTCATATTTCATAGATCGTATCACAACCGTTAGATTTTACGGGTCCCATCATCAACGTACCAAATGCAATCACAAGCTTTTCCACCAATTAAAGTAGCTCCCGGGGTCCGCCAATAGCTCCGCAATATCCGAATTTATATAACTTAGCTGCAAAGCCATGAAGTTCCAGAGTATCTTTAGTTGGCCAAAAAGAATGACCAATATAGTCACCGGTGTAATCCTTCTCCTGTTATCGATCTCCGGAATCGTCTCCGCCGGTAGATATTCCATCGGGGACGTTTTACGGTTACCGTCGGATGTTTCGAGTTTCTTCCACGGGAGCGAAGATGATGAGGTTGGTGGCACCAAATGGGCCATCTTGATTGCTGGATCTAATGGATATTGGAACTACAGGCATCAGGTCAGAAAAGTTTCGCTGAATTTTAACTATTTTTTCACCGTTTACATGATTTTTGAACATACATACATACATGTATATGATCGTCAACCTGCACTCGAATTCATAAGAGATAATTTGTCAACAGAGTTTTTAATTTAATTTGTGATTTAAATGTGAATTTATTGATTGTTTGATCGGTCTTAATTTTTTTTATTTATTGATAATTGTTTCAGGCTGATGTTTGTCATGCTTATCAAATCCTAAGGAGCGGTGGTTTGAAAGAGGAAAATATTATCGTCTTTATGTACGATGATATAGCTTTCAATGTACAAAATCCTAGGCCTGGCGTTATAATTAACCATCCTCAGGGAAGTGATGTTTATAAGGGAGTTCCAAAGGTTTGTTTTGTTTTTCTTGTAGAAATTGTTGCCGATTTTCATTTTCTGATTATGATCGTTGCCTAATTGTTGTTGTTCTGTAGGATTATACCGGTGAAGATGTCAATGTTAACAACTTTTTTTCCGCTATCCTCGGAAACAAATCTGCGATCACCGGGGGTAGTGGGAAGGTTGTAGATAGTGGCCCTAATGATCATATCTTCATATACTACACTGACCATGGGGGTCCCGGTATTCTTGGTTAGTATTATCGAAATAGCTTCGTTCCGTTACTTGCTCTGATTCTAGTATGATTTTCGGCTTGCAATTTGATGCTTGTTTCTAAAGCTGCTAATGATTACATGTGTTAATACAGGGATGCCTACCTTTCCTTATCTTTATGCCGATGACTTGATTGATGTTTTAAAGAAAAAGCATGCTTTGGGGACCTATAAAAGCTTGGTAAATCAATGTTTTGATAATTATCTATTTCTGAATGCGATTTCTTATCGACTTTTTGCCGTTCTTAATTTCATGTCTACGTGTAACTCTGCAGGTATTCTACCTTGAAGCTTGTGAGTCAGGAAGTATCTTTGAGGGTCTCCTTCCTGAGGGTTTGAATATCTATGCCACTACAGCATCAAATGCGGAAGAGAGTAGTTGGGGAACCTATTGTCCCGGAGACTACCCTAGTCCTCCCCCAGAATATGACACCTGCTTGGGAGATTTGTACAGTATCGCTTGGATGGAGGACAGGTCTGTATTCAAGCATGTTCATCATTCAAGTCCTTTTCGTTTATCCATGGCATTATTGGATCCGCAAGTATTTCAAAGTTGAAGCTGATTGTCTGGATCTGTTTTCTCCAAGATTTAAGCAAGTTTTAAATAAATCAACTTCAGTTTGTTTATTGGCTGCAAAGTGGGTATTATACATGGAAATTTGATTCTTAAGTGTGATCTAAGACTACAGTAGATATCTTTTAAAACTGAGGAATCAACTTTTGTTTTATTTCTGTTGAATTTCATCCCTATGTGTGAATCCTAATACAGTGTTTCTGTTGAGCAGTGACGTGCATAATTTGAAGACAGAGAATTTGCACCAGCAATATGAAGTTGTAAGACTTTTTACAACGTGTTTTTGCATCAACTCTTTTCTTTTATATGGTAGTTATCGATTACTGTTTAGATCTAAGAAATATGAACATATATCCAAAAAAGCGAGAGGCCTAAATTCTTTTGACATCAATTTCAAGCACCAATGATTCATTTGTTCAGAAATATAGTGTCATAGAAACCTTATACTTCTATTGTTGATATTTGCCTTGCAATCTCATTTTGCGGACCTTTTTGCAGGTGAAAAAGAGGACTCTCAATGTCAATTCTTACTATGGCTCTCATGTCATGCAATATGGTGATGTAGGGCTTAGCAAGGAAAGTCTCTTTGCATACTTGGGTACAAATCCTTTTAACGATAACTTCACCTTCGTCGACGAGAACTCGTTGCAACCACCTGCAAAAGCTGTTAATCAGCGTGATGCTGATCTTGTCCATTTTTGGCACAAGGTTTGTGTCTTATTTCTTCTCGAGATATTACATTAAACACATGCCCTGATTTTTGCATCTCTTTCTTTAAGATGTTCTCGTTCGGAATGATTGTAAGATATTAACAGTTGTTTTATAGATTTGAAAGCTGCCACTATGCTAGTTTTAGAACCCATCTGACTTGGAGCTTTCTCTCGAATCTACTTTGCAGTATCGCAGGGCACCCGAGGGCTCTGCTCGGAAGGTTGAAGCCCAGAAGGAGTTTGTTGAAGCCATGTCTCATAGAATGCATATAGACAACAGTGTGAAGCTCATCGGCAAACTCTTAATCGGCATCGAAAGAGGACTGGAAGTTTTGAGCGCCGTTCGACCAGCTGGCCAACCACTCGTCGACGACTGGAAATGCCTTAAGAAAACGGTGAATATTCTCGATTCTCAGTCTCTCTTAACTTCCTTTCCTCTTGCTACTTTAAAACAACGCGCCATTCATGTAAACAGGTGAGAACTTTCGAGACACATTGCGGATCCCTAGCCCAGTACGGGATGAAACACATGCGATCCCTTGCAAACATCTGCAATGCCGGAATTCAGACGGAACAGATGGCCGAGGCATCGGCACAAGCTTGTGCTAGCATTCCTACCGGTCGTTGGAGCTCTGTTCAGAAAGGGTTCAGTGCTTGAACCTAGCAGCGGAATCGGGCAGATATTATCAGCCAAAGCTTGGATTATGTTTGTATTTTCGCATCGTGATTTCTTATTTTACGAAGCTGCATTTCTATGATTGTTCATGTGATTGCTTATTTCTAAAATGATGATTAGGAGCAAGTCCATACCAGACTCCTTAATTTATGTAAATATGGTTAGGATATGTTCCATGAGAAGTAGTATTGTTTGTATATAAATTATGTATGATGCAATTACCTATAATCAATGAAAAAGGATAATATTTATTGTAAATGTCATTTTTTTATAAAATAGTATGAATCGAGTTAATACGTTGGAAAGTATTACCACATACCTTGCTAAAATACCCCTAAACCTAGTCGGAGGAAAAAAATATCATTTTATTATTGAATTTCTTTTACATTTCTAAATGTTAAAATATTTTAATTATAAAGGTAAATTATGTCAATACTATTGAATTCTAGATGGTTTGTTGTTCATATCACTAAACTTTAAATTGTTTTAATCATAACATTAACTTTAACTTTTGTTTCTGGATCGTTAACTCAGTAACGACACAATGACGTAACTGACGATTGTCGACGTAAATGTCACAAATACGACATCGTTTAAAAGAAAAACTAAGGGTAAATTATGCATTTAGTTCATAAACTATCAGTTTTGATCTGTTTTAGTACCTAAACTTTTATTTTTTTTCAAAATCATACCTATCATTTAGTTTTTATTTCATTTTAGTACCCCGCTGCTAAAAACTTAACGTGTTTAGTATCTAAACTATTAGTTTTAGTACCTAAACTTTCAAAAAAATTCAAAACTTAACGTTAACTTTTGAACATAGTACTAAAATGAAACAAAAACTAAAGTTTTTAATGGTGGGTAACTATAATGAAACAAAAACTATACTTATAGTTTTAAAAATTTTAAAAGTTTAAATATTATTAAATATTAAAACAGACAAAAAATGATAGTTCAAGTACTAAATACATGATTTTCCCAAAAACTAAAAGCTTTACAACCAAGTCAATTTAAGATTTTGATATATATTTAATAAAACTAATATATAGGTTAAATCACAGTTGAGATTAATACATATTTAACGATATAATTTTATAAATATACAAAGCTATCATTTTGCCTTTTCAAAACGTAAAATTTCCCAATCCTTTATTTGAATTTAAGTTACAATCTTCCAACAATCTTTTGGGACAGAGGTTAAGGCCTTTCTGTGGGCACCTACGGATTAGGATTCAAAGTTGGCTAGTGACATCCCCTCCCCATTGTAATGGTACACAGAAAGAAAAAGAACAGCAGTTTTTTCTTTTTAATAACGTGAGTAAATTTTGTTGATCATGATTTTATGTACATTCTTTTCCGGGTTGAGTAGTTTTGTATTAGTAAAAGATAAGAGATTCCGATCACTCGGACCGCCATTAGAATCCGAAAACCTTGGGTCCCTAACAATGGCTCCAAAGCGTTGGGTGCAAATTTTCTGGCGAAAAGGAAACAAACAGAAGATGGTTGATTGTTATACCTGTATTCATGTAAAGAACTCTTCACTAACGTCTGCGCTTCCGAAAGTTGCCGGGTGAGCACCACTCCTCGACCAGTCTACCCACGTGATGCTTCAATTTGCCAACAGAGTCGGTGCTTGAATCGTTAACATGGTCGGGAAATAATGCTCGTCGACATAGCATTCTGGTCGACAAAACCGTTCGAACTTTGGGTAATATTTAATGTCTTCCACTACGTTGATCGCAATCCTTTGATTGATCTCGAACCACTGGGAACCTTTGTGCCATTGGGTGAGAGCCACCTCCGGAGCCAAACTCTCGTTGTACCTCCCTCGAGCAACTGGCCCAGGTTCATCAAATGAATCGACAAAGCTGTATTAGGATTTCTTTATGTACTGGTAGATGACACTGAAGTTGTGTAAGGGAATGCAAGATTCGGATAGGAGGATAAATCATTCATTCGATATGTCGAGCAAGGCATTGGCAATGAGCCGTCTCTCGGCATCACACATACTCATCTTTCCCCACTCATATACCTGTAGAGGTACCAAACACATAACTATCACTATTATTTAATTCTTACATGGCATAATTTAAAAGGGACATATGATGACATGACACAACCGTTTCATGCAATCCTTTATCGGTATGAGATTTCTTGCGGGAAAATCAATCACAATAAATTCTCATACAAGTTACTAACACATTATGTAGCTATCTGTTCCCAAAGCAAAACCTCGGTGTACAACGTAATTACGTAAAGGCCTCTAAACCATACAATTATTGACACCCTGAAGGCTGATGCTACACGTAATTAGTTCCGAATTGACATCGTATCCGTTTTCAACAAGCAACAGTAACAGGGTGTGCTATTAGATGAGGTTGGTAAACCAATGTCACCGTTTGAAGCACCAAACAGATCCACATAGGTGTAAATGGAAGATCTCAAAATGTGCAAGTTTCAGTCCGGATTAAATGATGACACCAAGCGAAGCTAATGATACATACAGTTTGAACGCAATCAAATGCATGTTCGTAAATATTCGTGACCATAATTCGTGACTTTTTGCAATGAACTAGTGGTATGCATACATGCATGTGAGAAAAATCCCTTCATTTGCAAAGACAACATTAATAGAACAGCAAAATCACAACCATCAAGGCAACCAAGAACCGATTAGAACCGGAACTGGATATAAGGAGAGGCACAAACTAACATCCTAATGCTTTTATTTTTCTTCAAAGTGATATGGCAATGGTCCCAAGTCTAACCTTCAAAAACCAAGTCTAAGCAACTAGGCATGGTAATCTATGTTACTCAGACTTCGGGGTAAACGTTAGTGTGCGAGTGTGCGTGTCTAAGACGTTTATGAAGTCGGGGTATCCTACATGCTAAAACCTCTTCAACAGTAAGGGAACACCTGCACAACAATATTTCCAGAAGACATCCAAGCATGCTAAGAGCAATATTGAAGACGATAATTCGCCATCTCGCACATAAGCATGTAAAAGAACATATAGAAACCATATAATATAAAATGGAGATTCGAATAGCATACCTGACTCGGGATATGTCTCCCGTAAAACAAGGAAGATGGTGGAAACTCGGCCTTGAACGATGGCAGTGAATGAACATAGACAGAATAACGGCCTTCATGGCCATTAAAAACCTCTCCCAAAGAGGTGAAAGTGGCAATGGTCCCTTTGTCAAGAACATGAAAGCAATCTTGGGAACTCTACGGAACGGATACTTCTTTATTCGAGGAGCGAACGATGCCCTCCAAAATAACTCTTTATCACTCATCGAATGAAGCAAATTCGAGGGAGGTTTCCTCCAACGATCCAAACTATTATCCGGTTTTTCGTCGCAAGTGACGAAATTCGACTTGACCGTTGTTATCACACTCTAGATTCCAAAATGCTGGATTGTGTATATACTAATGATGGAAAAGGCAATACAGATAGCAAGATACAACCCGAACAATTGAAGTACCCTTAATGGTGGAGTCTTGAATTGAGTTGCTCTGGTTGTAACAACAGGTTCCTTGCCTTCCTCTAATGACCCAACCGACCCAGATCTCGTTTGCATCTCTCAAGACAATCCCAAACACTAGAATCCGAATTTCTGGGTTCAGATCCAAAACCCCAAAGCAGTGAACTAAAAGCTATTGAATTTTAGACCCCCAAAAGGAGTAATTCAGTGAAAAGGTCCAAAATGGGGGTTTCTAATATCTAACCAAGTTTAAAAAATGCGGCTCTTTTTAGCAAGAGAAATAATGATGGAAGAACACATATAAAGCTGCAAACTGAAAGTCAAGAGCTCAAAGCAAAAGAATGCACGATAAACAGCATTGTTAGCAAACAATCTAAAGCTAAAATCAAAGTGAAAAGCTAGTTTTAAGTAGAAGATACTGAGTGAAACATTACCATGTAAAGTGAGAGAGATGTGGGGAGGTTGTGGCGTTGGGCATTTGTTATAGGTAAGCTGGGTGGGCTTGCTTGCTTCATATGTGAAAACACTGTTTAGGAACGAAATGGGGCCAAATTGGCCCATTAGGGCACCCAAGAAAATAATTTGGCCTATTAGGGCACCCAAACATTTAATTTGGGATCTACGGTAAATTGAACAGTCCCCATGGAACTCGTCATGCCGGCATAACCTTAAATCCGCGAAGAAACGTCGCTCCATATAATTTGGATTGTGAAAAATATATCAACATCCACTCATTTAGCTCTTCATTCGTCATTCCTTGATGACGAATAATTCGTTCTTCTCGCTACAATTTGAAAATAAATTATTTAATACAATTACATAAATAATTATCATTAATACTTTAATTTTGTCAAAACTAAAATGAAATAAAACAAATTAAATTTACCGTTGTCAACTCGATCGACGAAATATGAACTTCATTAAGAAATAACATTTTTTCTCTTGAGGCCATTTCAACACAAAAGTTTTTTTCTCAGTATAATAAATTATATCTTCCACTCAAATTCAATCTGAACAAAAAAATTTATAACATCCACTTGATTTGATCTGACTAAAAAATAAATATCATATACCCGATTCAGATCCGACCTAACCCAATAAAAAAAAGACTTAATTAAAATATATATATTTTCAAAAATTACATTATTATCTTAAAGTCGGGTTGGGTAAGAATTTTTTTCACCCGACTCGGCCTTGCTCATTAAAAAACGACTCGATCGAATTCGAACATGATTTTTTTAAACAAAATCCTACTCTATCAGATAGAGTCTGTAGACACTCGTTTTCGTCCATATATATATATATATATATATTATAATTTGTAAATTGTTTTTAAAAATATTTATATAATATATAATTTTTAAGACATTTTTTAAAACTATATAATATATAGTTTTTAAAACATTCTAGAAAATATATATAATATATAATTTTTAAAATCATTTTGAAAACTTATATAATATATAGTTTTAAAATCATTTTGAAAACTCATATAATATAAAGTTTTGAAACCATTTTGAAAAAATTATATATAACTTTCAAAACGTTTTTAAAACATTTTTAAAAATATATATAATATATAGTTTAAAACATTTTTGAAAATATATATATTATATAGTTTAAAAACATTTTTAAAAATATATATTATAGTTTTTGACAATACTTTTATATAATAATATTATTATTGTTATTTATTTATTATTTATTTTATTTTTATTAATTTCTGTTTAGTTTATTTTCCAGGTCCAATGTAGTCCAATTTGGTGGAGCGGTCCTGAACCAGCCCAAAGGTTCGAATGGGGTCTAATGCAGTCCAACTTAGCCAAGCGTCGCAAAGCAACACACATGACGATCATGTGCCCAAACAATCAACAGTGCCAACACTGAAATGGTCGGCCGATATCCCGAGACTGACCCATCCCGGGATGACCGGTATCACAATGGCCACGAACGCCCATATTTCGGGAGCCAAACAACCAAAATCGGGACTATAAAAACCCCGGTGAGGCCAACAGTGGACAACAACAACGCTGATAACATAACACCAACATCACATCATCGAACCCAAAATACAACAAAGATTGAAACCCAATAGCCAACACAGAGAGACACAACACAGTAAACATAGAGTCATCGAAAAACAGAACCCACGAAACAACAACAAAACCAACAGTAAGAAAACACAACACAAACATCAGCCAAGAAGCAAAACACATACACAAGAACGTCGGGGAAACAAACGTTTTCCGCGAAGAAAGGTATAAGTCGAGGGTTTAAAACCTAGATCTACGCCGTTTAAGGGCGTTTTTGTTTGATCGGTGCTCGGGGTTAGGTCGAGGGGCTTTATAGGATCATTTTGGTGTGTTCGGGTTTTTATCGACCCCGACGATGGCGATTGGAGCGGCGATCGGCACGACGGGGTAGCCACCGGATGATAGCCGAACATCGGGGAAGGGAGAGAGTTTGAGAGCTTCTCCCTTTAAGGGGAGAAGAATTTTGGGAAGAAATGTGAGAAATAAAGGGGAAATAGTGTTTTTGGGTATTTATATACTAGGGCCTCTTTGCAATTAAAGGATTTTTAAATTCTCTTCGTCGTCTCTGCTAGTTTGAATCGCATTTCAATCTGGTCACCGTTTGTAATTTTACCTCTGGATTCTCAATTCGTTCAATTTAGTCAATGTTTATACTTTGTGAATTAACCCTCTAATTTTGTTTTTTACAGTTCTTTTTTAGTATTAATTTATGTCCACAAAGTCCAGTTTAATTCATTTTGGTCCATTTATTTATTTATTTTTATTTTATCTTCCTAACATTTTAATTTCGAATATTAACCTTGTTCTTTTTTCCTCACTTCTTTTATATTTTATCTATTTTATTAGTATTATCATTTCTATTATTTTATTTATTTATTATTATTTTCTCAGAAATTTAACATTTTCTCCTTTTGTTTTGTCTTTCTTTCAATATATATATTTTTTAAATTTTGACATCCTTTTTTTATTTTTTTATTAATTAATTAATTTTTACTTGATATTTTTTTACCATCTAACATTTTTTATTTTCCAGAAGTAATTTCAACCAATCAAAGGTAAGAAATTTGAATTGGGTTTATAAATTTTAATTTTAATTTTTGCAATTAAAGATAACCGACAAATTAATTGGTACCGAAAGGGCGGTTCAATGGCGTTAATCCTTCATTGACTGTAACCGACTCTCGAGCCCGACATTTATGATAAAACGCAGATCAGGTAAGATGATGTCCAATCCACCTAATTGTTTTTTGATCGGTGGCGACTCTAACCCAATTATTCACGTTGAAGCCCAATTTCGGGTCCACCCGAAAGACGGATGCGACAGAGTCAAATCAAAATTTGTCTGATTCAGGTTAAATTCTCACCGCCACGCTAGATACCTTCAAATTTAGATTATGACTTTTATTTTAATTTAAGAATTATTAAAATATTTAATTTAATATATAAATTATTAATATACATCAATTGAATATATATTTCATAAAATTATAACGTGAAACTTTATTATTGATGTGAATTATTTAAATACTTAAAAATGAAAATGAAAGAAAAATTTTGCCATTTAGTAATAGCTTGCTACATTTAAAAAAAATCAGCTTGTTACATTAATGAAGTGCATAAAATTGAATCATTGTATTCAGATTTTTGAATCATAGATTAATGGATATACATTAATAATTTAAGGACTAAATTGAAATAAAATAAAATTTAAGGAAAAGTATATGAATGATCCATTGATTATAAGGTATTGTTTTAGTAAGTCTATCGACTATTAAAGGTTATAAAATTATTCTTCGACTATAAAATGTTACTTTGTTGAGTCTATTGACTATCAAAAGTTACAAAATGATCACCTGACTATTCATTATGTTCTCAAACTTATTATTTTCTATTAAAATTGATGGTATTCTAAGCTGGACGTTAACTTTTTGACTGTGATATGATAAAATCTGATGTCAAAATCTCAAATGAATATCACATCACAGTCATCATGTTAACGTCCAATTTAGACAATCGCTAACTTTTTTAATGAAAAAGGACGAGTTTGGAACATAATGAATAACCGTGTGATATTCTTGTAACTTTTGATAGTCGATGAACTCAACAACGCAACACTCTATAATCGAAAGACTATTTTGTAATTTTTAATAATTGAAAGGCTTAATAAAGCAATATCCTATAGTCGGGGACCATTTATGTACTTTACTCTGAAGTTTATGGATTAATCAATTATTTATAATGAGACTATGATCTTTATTTTATTATTTATAATTATTTATCCATGAAGTTTTATCTTACCTTCGTCCTCATGTACATAAATTTAAATTTATGAAACGTATCAAGTTTTGTTATGGGGATTAAAATGGAGAAAATGATATAATATGGGGATTAAAATGGAGAAAATGCCCGGGTGGCATAGCACGAAGCCACGAAGCTTTGGTGAGTATAATCCCAGGGTTGAAAATTATAATATAAACAGTTATATACCTTTTTTTTTAATTATTTATCTTTTTTTTTCATTTATTTTACTAATTTTTTCCATTTTTAGAAAAAACAAAGTCGCCTAAAAACTAAAAATTTTACATCGATTTAATTTGTAGTTCTGCGAACGATAACTTAATTTAAGATTAAAATTTGATGAAAATGGATGCAACAAAAAACATGATAAAAAGCACAACGTTATAAGTTAGACGCAACATAAAATGTTATCCTTTTACTAACATTTTCGATTGAACTTAAAATGTTACGAAATATGTAATAATTTTTGTTATTTTGAACAAAAAATATTACGAATAATATAATATTTTAGATTCAACCGAAAATATTAGAAATAATGTAACATTTTGTTTATTCTCAACCTAAAATTTTATGATTTTTATCATTTTTTTCTATTGTGCTCTTCATTTTTTAATCTTAAATTAAGTTTTTATTACTTAGATTTTCCCGATTTAGTTGGATTTCAATACATAATCATGTCAATCGTAAGTTGTCGAGGAGAATAAACAAAGCCCAATTCTTGCAGACGAGCCCGGACGCAGGAGTTCGCCTAAAACAGACCCAAATCCAGGTAAAAGTGCTTTGGGTAACTTTCGTCATCAGACAAAAAAGGCTGAAGCTGTCATTGACACGAGTTTTTGGAGATGAAGAACCCGTGGTTCAGGTGAAGCAACACAGATGATAGAAAATTTTACACACATTTATTTATATTTTGGCGATCGACCTTTATAAACCGTGCCAACTTCATGAAGATCTGATGGACACTTTGGCTTTGCAATCTAGGAATCAATGTGTTTCAGGATGAATCTCAAAGGTGTTTTCCCGGTTCCCTCTCATTTCCTTGCCAATTCACCTTCTAAGCTCCCTTCTTCTTCCGGTGAGTTCTTTCGATTCCACTTATCTTTTTTGCTCTACTTCAAAAAGAAGTTAAATAAGCTTTTAGAATTTCTCGGTTCGGTTAGATTGAGGTGATTGTGTAACTGTTAGTTGACTACCAAGTTGAATTTGTGTTGCTGCATTTTTTTAGTGTTAAGCTGAGATCGAGGTGTGCTTGCCAAAATTATTAGTGAAATCTCTTTTTCGATTGAAAATTATAATCTAAATTGTTACCACGTTAGTATTTTCTGTCAAAATTTGCTTACCATCAGATATGCTTACTACTTATGCTTTCTGAGTTGATAATGGTGTTAACAATTGTATTAGCATCTTTAAGTCCAAAACTAAAAGGCCTTATACTTACTAGCATGAACCAAGCGACCTCGGTGTAGTGGCGGATCCAGAAATTTAAGAATGAGGGACCAAAATTTTTATTTTCTTTTCTTAAAAATAATGGGTAGCAAAAATTGTAATTTTTTTCTTTTTTTCTTAACACATTAAGCTAAATTTAAACATTTTTCCAAAATAATGGGATGCATTTGGTCCCTATGGGGGCTTAGTGCATCCCCACTGCCTCGGTGGTAAAGAAATTGTTGTTATTTCTTAAGGTTCTGGGTTTGAGCACCAGGAATGTAAATGTGAGTTCAATGTCAAATAATTTGAGTTATCTTTGATCAAATATTGCCTTGTAATTACTCTAGATTAATAAAAAAATGTACATGTGCTAGATCTAAAATTTCATTCAAGTATAGCGACTGGCAGCATATCTTAAACCTAACATTAACTTCAAATTAGAAGTTGGTTACTTCTCTATTAAACTATAATCCATTCAAGGTCGTAGCTTTTACTATGGAGTCCATGCAATTGAATTCCAGTTTTCATCACCAGTCTTATCTAAGTTATTCTATACCAAGTGCTTGTCTTTGGGTTGTTATCGAACCTTCTATTTCTTTCCTTGGTTTTTATTCACTTCCATTGGTTTTGCTTTAACACAGTAAGAGGGAAGGAGGCTTCTTTTAACTCAGCTAGACTGTCTTCTCCCTCTGTAACATCTGATGAAGGTGTGATTTTATCGAAAGGTCCTCCAAAAGCATGCGCTTCATCCGTAGCTCTGCAAACAATAGAAAATGGTTGCTTGGAAGTTGAAGAGAAGGTGTGTGGGAGAATATCAAATTATATCTAATAAGTTGCACAACACTTTATGGTCCATTTCATAATGTTGCACAGTCAAATATCTTGTATTATTCTGGTCTTTGTTCTTTTCCAGATAAAGATTGACAAGGGATCACGGTCACAGAGTTGTTCGCATGTTATGATCGGTGAATCTAATGAACCAATCGGAGGGAACAAATCTTCCTTGTGCACGGGCCTGCAAATATGCAATACATCACATTATGGTGTGCTAATGGAAAATCTCAACGTTTTAGAGGAGATGCTTGTTGATTCAGATATGTTGAGATTGGAGAGGGAAATTCTACTTCAACTAGGAAGGCTTGGAGCTCTAAATTTATTTAATAACTATTTGTCTAGGACTCATAGACCTCTGAACATGTTCGACCTATCTGATGTTGCTTCTGTTTGTGGAGTGTGTGATATGAACGGCTTGGTGGACAGTGAAAAGGATAAAAGAATTGTTTGTTCTATAAAAAAGAAACAAAAAAAGAAGAGAAGAGAAAAAGCAGCAGAAAACAATACAATTTCCACACAATCACTGCCTTCCAACACCCTACGCGGACACTTTCAGAAGCCCAAAGTTTCTTCTCCGAAAAGAATGTCAGACACTAGGAAGAGATTATCGACAATTGCTAGAAATGAAGTAGAAATATCAAAGGGAGTTAAGGTTGTCGTAAAAGTTAGTTTATGGAATGCATATTCTTTTGTCACAGGCATTTTAAGCTAACCTTTGACCGGTCTATGCTTTCCCAAGCAGGTGGTTGCAAACTTGGAGAGGATTAAAACAACTATGGAAGAGGAAACTGGGAGAGCTGTGAGCTTGAGTTGCTGGGCAGAAGCAGCCAAACTTACTGCGAAGGTACTGCAACATAATTTGCATTATGGTTGGTACTGCAGGGATGAGCTACTAAGGAGTACACGCTCCTTAGTCCTCTACTTTGCAAGGAACTATAGGGGTCTGGGAATAGCCCATGAAGATTTAATCCAGGTCGGTCTGACTTCTTCAATTTGTTTGGTTGCTTACATACTATACTTGCTGTAGCTATTCCAACAGTGCAATAATTCATTCCATGATTAGCCGAATATCTTTCTTTAGTTTGTTATCTACCTGACAGATCGTTCAAGTTTATTTTGTTGTTTCTGACAGGCAGGAAGTATAGGAGTCCTACAAGGTGCAGAAAGGTTTGACTACACAAGGGGATACAAATTTGCTACCTATATACAGTACTGGATAAGGAAATCAATTTCGAGAATGGTGGCACGGCATGCTAGAGGGATCCAAGTTCCTGTATGTAGCTTTCTCATCTTTGGTATATTATTTCTTCACGCAAATAACATGGTAATGAAAGCTGGAGCTTGACCAATCTGTTATTCTCCCGTTCTTCTTTCTTTCTTTCTAGTGCACATTAAGCAGGGCAATAGGACAGATACAAAAAGCTCGGAAAGCCCTTAGCCAAAGCCATGGGAAATACCCAGAAGAGGATGAAATAGCCAAGATGACAGGTCTTTCTTTGTCAAAAATCAGGTCGGCTGATAAATGCTTCAGAGTTGTTGGTTCAATTGACCAGAAAATCGGAGATTGTATCAATGCAAAATATTTGGTATGTCATCATTTCTTTCTGTTCATTGTCATCTTTTTCCTCCCCTGCATTTTAAGAGCCAGACATTGAAGTTCAGTCAGTTTTATGGATAAAGAGTTCATTTCATTGATATCCCTGGAGTCCCTCTTTTCCAATTACTTAGGTCAGATCTCAACTCTTACACTGGTCTCGTTGATAATGGCAAGAATTATATGCAGGTGATGGAAATGGTGGAAAACCCTCTAGTGTTGCTATGAAAGTTGTTTCAATATCGTTGAATCTAATATGCACTCATACATTCTATAATTAAACGATGTGAGGCAAGAACATCTTTTTCTTTTTCCTCTCCCCCCGCGTTCTCATAAAGCGTTAGATGATCGGTTTGGAGGACTTTCCGTTATATCACATCCTGTTATTTGCATATGCATTCTTGTTCTTTCATGCAAGGTTGATAGGGCATCGATGAAGATGCTTCGATTGAAAAAACGTGTGGGCATATGATAATGCAGGAATTTATCCCAGACATGTCAATACGGAACCCGGAAAAAACTGTGATGAGGCAGCACATGAAGGAAGATCTTCATGATCTTTTGAATGGTTTGGAAAAAAGAGAGAGGCAAGTGATGGTTCTACGTTACGGGCTCAAGGGCTCTCCCCCAAAGTCACTCGAGGAGATCGGAAGGCTTTTTCATGTGAGCAAAGAGTGGATAAGAAGGATAGAGATGAAAGCAATGACAAAGTTGAAGGATAAAGAAACCTGCAGAAATTTAAGCCATTATTTGGATTTATAGCTTCACTTGCAGTCCAAGATAACTCCGTTGTTGTCCATTTTCGGAGTGTTTCGAGCCCGATAATACGACTTCCATTCTCGAAGCTATGACAGATGATTTTGCTGGGGGGATGAATCACTCTCTTGAAGAAGCTGGCAAAGGCAAAAAGAAAATCGACGTTGTTGCTTCTTTTGGGCAGCTTGGTAAATTACCTTGAAAGTGCATTTTGTATATTTGAAAGGCTTAATGTAAGAATAAGTTACTAAACTTTACCTCAAAAATGATTTGGGGTCTAAAGAATTTTCCCCTAAAATTGGTGTCTAACGTTAATAAAAATATTATTTTTTAATTAAGAAAATTAAAAATTAAAAAACTTAATTTATTTACAAAAGAATCCCAAAATTTAATGAAATTATAAAAAAAAACTCTAAACAAATTAAAATATTTCATTTCAACCCATTACCAATCGTGGAACACCATAGGAGCACCGATGGAGCGATGGTGACGATGGGTTTTGAGCGGAATTACATGGTGGTTTGAATGGTGATGACGACGTGGCTTATGGATGTTGAGATTAGCCGAAATCGACGAAAAACAACGGTGGTGACAAACATTAAATTGCATTTTTTTAACAAAAACTGAGAAAAAAAAATTATCTACTTTAAATTGACATAAATTATTCCTCGCATATTATTAAATTTGGGATTTATTGTTAAACTGATTCAATATTTAGATGTAATAAATTCGTAAAAATCAATAATTTAAAGTAAAACAACAAATTCCTTCTTCCAGAAGGAAGTGATGGCTAAGTTAATACATCGATTACGGAAACTATAATTAGAGGAACAAATAAACTCAATAAATCGACGAAACTTCTTGACCTCTGCAATCTGTGTGGTTTAAACTCTGTGAAGATGAAGCTTTTCATATCATTAAATCATCCAAATCCACGTTTCAACTATGCAATTCTTGGCGTTTTGTAAGTAAATTATTGGACAATCGTTTGATTTTTTTATGTGCCCACGTGTCCCCTGTTAATTAGGGTTGTAAATGCCGAGTTTGATTCTGGCTCGACTCGACTTAAAAACTCTAAAATAAAATTCGACTCGAATTGAAAACTTGCGAGTCTAAATTTTTCAAGCTCGATTCAAATTTGAAACCATGAATTGAAGCCCATAAAAACTCGAAATGAAAAAAAATCTTAAACTTAACTCGATTGAAGACTCGAACTCAAACTCGACCTTGTATTTTAAATACATTGAAATCTTATACTGTATTTTTTTAAGCAACACATAAATGTTAATATTATTAATAATTTATTTTTTTAAAATAAAATATTAATATATTATATTTTCGTTCATGAACTTTTCGAGTCGAGTATCAAGTAACTCGTTTCGACTCGTTAAAAGTTTGAGTCAAGCTCGAGTAAAGTCCATTCAAATAAAATATTTATCGAACTTTGACTGATTCGATCACGAATAAATCACGATCTATCTCGTCTCATTTATGTTCATAATAGGCTGACCTTGTTTAATCCGACTTTGAATGGGCTTAACTTCAAAATACTACGTACCTTGCGAAGGTTTATTAATGATATTTCTCAAAAAAAAAATTACCTTCAATCGTTTTATCTTTGTCAAATTAAAAAAATCAAACATTAACTTAATAAATAGATTAGATAATATTTTGTTTTTTAATATATATATATATATATATATATATATATATATATATATAACTGTATCGTACTTAAAATTAAGAAATAATAAAATTTGAAATTTAATAATATTAATTATGTTTGATAGATTGTAATTAGTTATTTTGTCAAATAATTTACGTAAAATAAATTATTTGAAAACTGTTTCATGTAGAATGAATTACACTTTTTTACAAAATAATTTCCAAAACTATTTTATTGTGTTTTGATGATATTATGCAAACCATTTTCACTAATTATTCGATACACTATAATTAATTTTATAGAAAATGATTTACATAAATTGAATAAAGTTTGATTCAATTAATATTAAAAAACGGTTTGATTAACTATTAAATAAAAAGAATTAGACTAATTCAGTTAATGGTAATTAGGTTCGATCAGTGGCCGAATTAACCGTATGAACACTCCTAATTTTAATTATTAGTATTTTAGTAACATAATATTATATTAATATTAAATGTATAAATTAATAATTTAATAATATTATATTTAAAAAAGATAATATTAACTATATTAATAATGTATTATACATTATTAAATTAAAAATATAATATAATATATATTATAATATAACTGAGTATATATTAATATAATTTTATTAAAATTATATTATATGTAATAACTATTTTAATAATTTACATTTTCGTTAAAATGATACTCAAATATTATATTAATATTAAATAAAAATAATATTTTTTGAGTGTTTATAATTTGAAGTAAAAAATTAAGAAAATATTTTATCTAAAATCAGATAGTAAAATATTTTATAGAAAATATAAAGGTATTAAGAAAATAAATTATATTTGAAAAACTAATTATAATTATCAAATATTGAAAAATATTTTCATTAAAAAGATTGGACGGTCGAAAATTTCCCACCTCTTTGCTACGGTGATGTTTTCACTAGGCTTGAATTACTACACGTGTCTTTCCCATTTTGCTAAGTAAAATAGTAATAATAAATCACGGTAACCGCCCGCTTGTGCTGGTCCAATCACCCACAATGCTCAGATACCATGCGGGTAATTCAATCAAATCCCATTTTTCTCCGCTTTTTGCTTGATGCGTATTTGCCTCCAAAACTCTATTCCCCCCCCCCCTCACCTACTCGCCCGTAAACATCACTCCTACTGAGATTTAGTATTTAATTAAGGCCTGGCTTAGGGATGGAAAAAGAAAAACCGTACCGACGGGAAAAATCAAAAATTGAAATAAACGGGATGAGAAAAAATTGTTTATGTTAATCGGATGCGGGGACAAGGAAAAATCGTTTATGTTAAACGCGGACGAGTTTAGTAATCCCCGCCACGATACCCTGCCCGATACCTGTTTAAATAACCGTTTATGCTAAATAGAGATACCCGTTTCCCCGCGGTTTTCCCCGATTATCTGATGTGGATCCCCGTTTAAATCTCCACGGTTTTTTAAGCGGGGACGGGTACGAGTTTTTTAAACGGGGACGGGGACGGGGGGACCAATACCCGGCCCGAACCCGACCCGTTGCCATCCCTAGCCTGGCTTCTCTACGGTAACCTTAATATTCGATTAAGAAAAATTTCTATTGAAAATATTATTATTATTTTTAATATTTTTCTTAAAGTGTTATATAAAATATTATTATTTTTGCCGAAAATATTATTTTTGTTAATTAATTTTTTGTAAAACTCAATATTAACATTTTCGGTAAAAAAATAATGTTTTAGGTAACGTCAAATATTAACATTTTCTGTAGAAAAAATAATGTTTTGATAGAGTTTTATCAAAAATATTAAAAAAATAATAATATATTCGACAACGTCTTTCCTTAACCGTATATTAAGACGGCTAAGACATTCCGGCTTGAAGGGGATTTTTATAAAATGCTACTTAATTAAATCCTCGAGTAAGCAAGTTTTACGCCGTCGTTTTAATCATCGCTTCCTTTGCCAAATACCCTCTGATTTGAAAACCGGATTAGACCGACCGGTTCAATCTAAATCGGTTGAATCGCTATTAGTGAACCGGTCAGAATCGCTGAACCGTTCGAACCAGACTGGCTGAAAACCGGAAAAAACTGGGAAAACGAGGGAAAATCGGGATTTTTGTTTTTTTTTTAAAATAAAAATAAACCAAACAACGTCGTTTGTTAAACGAGCCAAGTCGAACTCGAGTATTGCTGAGCTCGACTCGAACTTGAAAACTTTAAAAATAAGCTCAACTCAACTCAAACTCACAAGCTAAAAATTATCAAGTTCAACTCAAACTCGAAATATATAATATTGAAACTTGAACTCAAAAAGGCTTGACTCAAAAAAAAATTAGAAGCTCGATTGAAGCCTAAAATTCGAGCTTGATTGAAGTGAAAGAATAGTTCACTCAATGTTCACCAAAAGGCTCCATGTTTTTTAATGTCAAATTACATTTATAATTTATAGAAGTTAGTTGTGATGCAACTCTATGTTTCTTAGCAATGTGAGATTGTTTTGTTCTCATATTTTTACTCTTTAGACTTTTGGGATGCTCTTCTATGTTTCTTAGCCATGTGAGATTGTTTTTAAAAAAAAAATTAAACCAAACAATATCATTTTGTTATGATTTTTTTAACCCCAAATTTATTTTTTAATTATAGTTATATAATTATATTTATTATTTAATATGTTTTACCTGAAATATTATGTTGTAGTTAATTCGAATCATTTTGTTTCACTTGATTTTATGGTTTTTAACTTATATATGTGATGACTTGCTTTGAATATGACTTGTGATATAAAAAATTATTTTTTATTAAATATTTTTGGTATTTTTATTTAATTTTTTAAATAATTATGACGTCGTTCGGTTCTTCTGACCGATCAGACCAATTCAACCGATTGAACTAGTGAATCGATAACATGACCAATTCACTAACTGATTTGGTTGTGAAAACCATGCAAATGCCAGTGGCACGTTGAACGGACTCTTCAACAAAAGTTTGAAGTCCATTAGGGAAAAATTCAACGACATCCTATCTTTTGCCAAACACGATTGCACCCGTCCACGTCTTATGATACATTGACAGTTTAAAACTGATTATTTGCATTAAATACCCTTGAGATATGATTTAAACTCTAAATTAATCCCTGAATTCTAAAACCTTGTGATAAATCAGGTATGTTTATTTTATCTTAAGTGTGTTTTAAATATATTTCACATCATTCATGCCATCATAGTTGAGTTATGAATGTCGGGTTTTTAAGCCATTTAAGGAGTTAATGATATTCTTCTAGGGATGAGAAATAAAAAATTTGTTATAAATAGACACATCGAGAATATAATCATAATTATTAAAATTTTGTTTTAATTTTTTTATCAAAATAAACTCTGTTAAATAAAAATCGTTAATTAATTAATAATTAACTCATATTATTGACGTGACTTTTATACATATATTCAATTGATGATATAATATATATCACGTCATCTAAAATGATAAAATGAAATATATAATATCACAAAAAATGATGAAGATGCATGTGTCATGTCAAGAATTAGATACATATAAAAATATTACATCAACAATCAATTAACTGTTTTTATTTAACAATGTATGTTTTGACAAAAAAAAACTAAGCAGGTAAAATGTTCAAAAAAATATGGTGTAAAATAATAATTTGTATAAACCTTAGGCAATGATTTTCTCTTTATGCCTTGAAAATAGGGGTGAGAAAATATCGACTCGAAAAATCGATTTTTTTCGACACAATTCAAAAAAACTCGACTAGAAATGACTTTGAGTTGTAATTTCATAAATTCGACTCGAATCGGAAAAAAATTAAGTTTAAATTTATAAAATACAACTCGAATAATTCAAATTTTTTAGTAATTAGTAGATTAATTTTCAAGTTTGTGTCGAGTCACTCAATTCTGTATGATATATGTATATCACATATGAAATAAATATATATATGTATTGTATTTTTTTAATCAAAAATCACACATGAATGAATTGTTATATATATGTATTGTATATGATCATAAAAAATTATTTAAATTGAAATATTATAATATTATAATATTATAAATATTGATAATTAAATTTAAAAATAAACTCGAAAATTTGACTTGACTAGACTAAAATTTTTTAAAGTCAACTCCGAGTTGTAAAATATGACTCGTAAACTCAAATAACTCAAATTTTTTTAACTCGACTGACTCGATCGAACGTTCACCCTTACTTGAAAATATATTTAATTTTTTTAGAAGTTTAGGATCTATTTTAAAAACTTTAGGCATGGGTTGGTGCAATTAACCCTTTCATGATTCCAGAAGTAACCAAGCTCACCTAAGCCGTAACGTTCCTTAGCTTTCCCCTTGCCTCCTTCGGCTCGTAATAAAGCGCGCTCTCCCCTGCTTTTCTCTCCGTGAAAAGCCCACTTTCTTTCTCTCTCTACGAACAACCTTCTGTTGTTGCAGAGCGTCAGAGAAACCGTAATTTATAGTGTTTCCATTTTTTTCTTTCTAAATTCCATACGATTTTGGATTTAATCGAGATTTATGTAGAAATTAGTTTTGTGATTCGTTTTTCATGGTTGTTTCGATGGTTATTGTTCTGTTGTGTCTCCGAATCGAGAAGTTTACTCTAAAGCTTAATCTTAACCCTCCATTCTAATGACTTGCACCAGCCGTAAATGGCTCGATTTCACTCTCGTTTTCTCCCGCTCTCTGTCTTCCTCTCCTGCACCGTCTTCGTCTTGGCTTCTCCTTCGTCTCTCGAATCGGATTTTTCGATAATTGATTCGGGTTCCGATGGTCTCTTGTTCTATCATGACTACTCTCCTCCGGCACCGCCTCCGCCTCCTCCTCACGCACCGTCGGTATCTTGCACTGATGATCTCGGAGGGGTAGGTTCTCTGGATTCGACGTGCCAGATTGTGGACGATTTGAATCTTACTCGTGACGTGTATATAGTGGGAGAAGGTAATTTCTACATCCTCCCAGGAGTTAGATTCCATTGCCCCATTTTGGGATGTTCAATAACCGTTAACATCAGCGGAAACTTTTCCTTGGGCGAAAATTCGACTGTAGTAACTGGTACTTTCCAGCTCGCGGCTTATAACGCTAGTTTTTTCAATGGCTCGGCCGTGAACACTACGGGATTGGCGGGGGACCCACCGCTACAGACTAGTGGGACACCTCGGGGAGTGGATGGAGCGGGGGGAGGTCATGGAGGACGCGGCGCGTGTTGCTTGTTAGACGATGGGAAACGGCCGGATGATGTATGGGGTGGAGATGCTTATTCGTGGTCATCATTGCAGGAGCCATCCAGTTATGGAAGTAAGGGAGGGACAACGAGTAATGAAGAGGATTACGGAGGTGGAGGTGGTGGCTCGGTAAGAATAGAGATGAAAGAGTTGTTGGAGGTGAATGGCAGATTGTTGGCTGATGGGGGTGATGGAGGGACTAAGGGAGGCGGTGGATCAGGTGGTAGCATCTATATTAAATCTCGTAAAATGTAATGTTTCTCTCTTGTTTATTTTATCGTTTCGTTTTGTGTTTATTTGGCTTATTTAGTTCCCAAAGTTGGTGGTTATCTCGTTTTCTTTGTTTGGCAAGTGAAAGACAGAAATGAGAAATGTCGGGAATAAATATAATGAGTACCAGGTAGCGGACATTTGATACTTAATAGGCTTCTATGTGGTTTTGGCTAAGGTTTGAAGTGTAAAATATTGTTAATCCTAACGTGTTAATTTCTTATTGAAAGCATCGAATTTCTTTGCGTTCTAGACAATGATTTAATAGCTACTTAGTGATGAAAGTCCAACTAGGGTGGTTAGCCCATTGTGATGATGGAATGGACTTCTCTGATGAAACTTCATAGGGGCTGTATTCTTTATCCTATCATTCATACGGGCCAGAGTAATGGATATTGATAAAACACACCTTGGGTCCACTTTTATTTGCTTTTAAACAATTCTTTTACTTCACTGAATTTACTACGTACTGTTGATTGCAAACATGTAATAACGGTGGATATGACTACTTTCAGATTTTGAATTGCACCTCCAATTAAGTCGATGTGGAGAGCTTGAAGCTCTCTCCATTAGTTGTTAGCATTTTTGTTATGTACTTGTTAGGCCATGTAAGTTCATACCTGGGTTAGTGAAACATGTGACTGCTTATGCATAGTACTGACCTATTCTTTTGCTTCAATGGCTGCAGTTTTGAAAATAAATTTCTTTACGTGTAGCTAATCACCTTCTTTCTCTTAGTTATCTGTGGGTTAAATGTCATTAGCTTACCTCAGTATATTTAGGGGTTTTAAATTTTAATGTCAAAGTATCCGTTGTTCTGTGAAGAGCAGGACTGGAAGTGGAAGGTTAAGTGCATGTGGAGGTAATGGTTTTGGTGGCGGGGGTGGTGGAAGAGTTTCAGTCAATGTGTTCAGCAGGCACGATGAACCAAAAATATACGTGCATGGTAAGCCTTTTCCTTTTTTGTTTTTTTCTCTTTTATTATGATTGACCATGGAAAGAAGCTCAGTGATTATAAAGATTAAGAAATTAAGACTTTTTTATTGTCATGGTTTTGTGATTACTTGATTACTTTCTTGTTGCTAAAAGAAACAATTTTCAAAAGATTCACTAGATATTTTAGTGCAGTTTAAGGCAGTTTTTTATGATTATAGTGTTTTTGAGCTAGAGGGATGCCTTCTGAAGGTGTGAGATAAATGAATAAATTTCGTAGTAAATGAACTATTGTTGGATGATAAGCTTGGAAAATAAATTTACCGTTGAGAGCTTTTTGATTTCATCGTTTAATATTTTTTGTTTGTTTTCTAACTTCAGGAGGAGTTAGTCGTGGCTGCCCAGATAATTCTGGTGCTGCTGGAACCCTTTATGATGCTGTTCCCCGAAGCCTTACTGTTAACAATCATAATATGTCAACTGATACAGATACTCTTCTTCTAGAATTTCCTTACCAGCCACTTTGGACTAATGTCTATATTGAAAATAATGCCAGAGCTTCTGTTCCTTTGCTTTGGAGTCGGGTTCAGGTTTGAGAATTTTAAGTTTTTGCTCTTGTTAAGATTTTAAGAAATGTTGATATCATGCAATGCAAACGGCCAACACTCATGATTATTGGTTTGGATCCTTCAAAGTGTTTTTTATGTTTTATTTTTTCTTTTACCGCTGAGCTAATATTAAATTGTGTGTGCGCCTATAAATTTGAAGTTGTCTCTTTAAGTTTCTCCCTCCTTTATAGGTGTAGTTACCATTTCTTGCACTTCCTGTATTACTTATTTTATGATTATGCTTGTAAAGTTTACTGAGATAAAATTAGATTTGGCATGAGGAAGTTAATTTAAGTGTTTGCATCCTATATAGGTGCAGGGGCAGATAAGCCTTCTGAGTGGGGGGGTGTTGAGCTTTGGGCTAGCACATTATGCGTCTTCAGAGTTTGAACTATTGGCAGAAGAACTGTTAATGAGTTATTCTACAATCCAGGTGATGGACTCATCTTCTTACGGCCTTGAACGATATGTATCATTATAGTTACTATTTCATTTGTCGTCTTAAATTCTTGTCATAGTCACATTGCTAAGTTGTTTACTGTTCAGAAAACAGATTACATAGTAGCTGATTTTATTTTAATTGAAGTTTTATCCATATGTTGTATCTTTGTTATCATATATTTCCTCATCTGGCACATTTTAGGTCTGCTAACATGTCTCTGAGTTCTGAAATATCCTTATTGAAGCAGCAGGATGATTTCTAACGGGATGATAAATATATAATCTATCCCAAATGCTTTCTGCTTTTTTCTGCTTTACTTGACCATTCTGCCCTAGTTTTCTTTTTTCCCCATTTATAATATGTTTCTGATATCAGGTCTATGGTCTTTATTTTGTAACCTCTCTGTTTGACTGATATCAGGTCTATGGGGCTTTACGCATGACTGTGAAAATATTCTTAATGTTGAATTCCAAAATGTTAATGGATGGTGGTGAAGACACAACTGTTGCAACTTCATGGCTTGAGTCTAGTAATTTAGTTGTTCTCAAGGTGTTTAATATACTCCCTCTCTATCAATGTTACATGTTTCTCAGAATGTAATAATTCTTGACAAGCTCCTTTCCCTTACCCAGGAATCATCAGTCATTCATTCAAATGCAAATCTGGGAGTACACGGACAAGGTTTATTGAATTTATCTGGACCTGGAGATGAGATTCAGGCGCAACGTCTGGTCCTATCACTGTTTTATAGTATTCATGTAAGTGATTTTTTTTGCGATAATTCATTGTTGTTTTTAGTTCAAAAGTTCATAAATTCTTTTGGCCTATGAATATCTGATTTTATATTATGAGAACATATCGGTTTGGAGGCCAAGCTTAGCGACAATGTCAACTTTTAATGGTTGAATGCCAGTTTTGGGCAATAAGGATATCACTATAGTTTCTACAAGTAACCCGTTATGTTTTACCGCTCTGTCTAAAGTTTCCTATTCCATTTTAATCCATTTGCTCCTTCGGTTTTAGTAAGGAAAATGATTTTTTTTTATTTCCCGTGCTTTACAAAGTTAAGCAAAGTATAAAATTTTCTTATGGGCCCTCTTTGAATGGAGTATGAGTTTGACTTTTGGGTTGTTTCACTTTACATGGAGGATGGTATAGATCATTGTAAATTTTTCTCATGATTCTTAGTTCTGTTGTTGATTTTCCTTGTTGCCATATTCATCTTGCGGGGAAGAATTAAAATGACAGTTCAAAAACACTAGGTCTCGCTGCAGGATTTAGTACTGTATGCTGGGAGACTGTCTCTATTCTCTCTTATTATTAATGGATTAATAATAATAATCTGTTTCAATGAAGGTTGGACCTGGATCTGTTTTACGTGGTCCCCTAGAGAGTGCATCACCTGGTGTTGTGTAAGTTCTGGTTTTGATTGCTTCACCCTTGTATCTGGATTTGCACCCTTATTATCATTTTCTAATAAGAGATTTGAACTGTTATGTTGACTCAATGTTCCTCTTTTTGCGTTTGGCAGTACTCCTAGGCTTTATTGTGGGCGCCAAGATTGCCCCATTGAACTACTTCATCCACCTGAGGATTGCAATGTGAATTCATCTCTACCTTTTACTCTCCAGGTGTTTATTCAGTATAGTCGTGCAGTAATAGTCTAAGAAATATGTTTGTTTCTTCTTATTTAACAGTTTATTTAGTTTAATTTTAGATATGCCGAGTTGAGGAGATCACTGTTGAAGGTCTTATCAAGGGATCTGTTGTTCATTTCCATTGGGCGAGATCTGTATCCGTGCAGTCGTCTGGAGTAATTAGTGCATCTGGAATGGGTATGTTTATCCATTGTGTTTTAGGTTATATTTTATTCACATTCTCATAATATATATGATATATCTAAAACTTAGAAGCAGATGCATTAGCTAAGGTAGGAATTAGATAATTGAGAATTTCCTTCTAGGATTTGGGTGCTTTCTGTTGTAGTGGTTAAGATTTTTGGTTGGGATAAACAATCTGTTGTACTAAGCATTTTGTAATGTTCCTTTATATTTTAATAAAATCCAAGTGCTCTTTTCCCCCTTCTGCTTTTTACTGGAATGCCTTTGGTTTTCTAGTAATTATGAAGGGGATTTTTAACGAGGCCTCCGATTCCTATAAAAAAAAATATATGATATATCTACAAACATGCATGTCCATGTAGAAAATCAACTCCACCAAAGAAAGTGGTCTTTTATACCATTTTAGCATCTCTTATTTGTCTTGAAGAAAAGTAAAGAAAGATGAGTGGGACACTTGTTAAAAGTCATAACTGGATGGACTTCTTTTTGTTCTTGTACAGGATGCATAGGTGGTGTTGGTAGAGGAAATTTTTTAGACAATGGTATTGGTAGTGGCGGCGGCCATGGTGGTAAAGGGGGTTTTGCATGTTATAATGGTAGTTGTGTTGAGGGTGGTATTTCATACGGGAATTCAGAGTTGCCCTGTGAAATTGGTAGTGGAAGTGGAAATGAGAACTCGGCTAATTCGACTGCTGGTGGTGGTGTTATAGGTAAGTTGTTTGCATTCTTTTTGTGGGAATATATTGTTATATTTATGACTCTTTTTTTTTCACATTTAGCAAGGGTTGTCTTAGTGCTGTTTAATTTTGGTATCTGTCTCATCTGAAATGTTTATATGACTAGGTGACATTTTACTGATCATGCTGGGCAACGAGAATTTACCGCAACTAGTTGGTTGATATGCAATTACTGACATACGAACTTTTTCCCATCATCTCTTAAGATTGGTGTATTTTAATTATTTAGCTTTTGGTTTACATTACGAAATGTTGAAAAAGGTTTACTTTTCTTTACATGTCAAAAAGGAGCATGTTTGAGTTGATTGGTCTTAGGCTCCCACACTTCGTTTTTAGGAAGGATGGGTAGGGGGAGGGAAAATGTTTTAACAATGGATGAGATACAAGAATTCAAATGTTATGATTCTCAACCATTAGATTAGAAACAGTTTGTGGTCGTAAATATCAGTAACAGCTACTGCTTTTATTAAGTTTGTCTTAAATGTTAATGAGATGTTATGTCTGAACAGTAATGGGTTCCATGGAGCATCCTTTGCCAAGTTTGTCTGTTGAGGGTGCTGTGAAGGCTGATGGAGAAAGCTATGGAGAAACAATCTGGCACGGAGGGTATTCTGTTTCTAGTGGTTCAAGCATAGCTCCAGGGGGTGGCTCTGGTGGTACAGTTCTTTTGTTTCTTCATACATTGACTCTTGGCAAATCTGCTATTCTTTCAAGCGTTGGAGGCTATGGTAGTTCCAAAGGCAGTGGTGGAGGAGGTGGAAGGATTCATTTTCATTGGTCAGACATCCCCACTGGAGATGTTTACCAGCCAATTGCTAGTGTGAATGGAAGCATCTATGCTAGGTTTGTTTCTAATGTGATATTTTTTTCTTCTTTCGTATATTAAGTTACTAATGGTCCAAAATGTTTGATAACATTTCTATGTCCGTGATATATTGGTCAATCAATGCCCCAGGTGGTGTATGTCCATAAAATGATGCTTTATGATTAATGCTAACAAGCTTCTCAACCCAGAACTTGTAACCTGATTTTAACTTCTTCCTTTTTGTTCTGTTGAGGGCATTAGCAAATAGAAAAATTAAACCTATAAAAAGAAAAATATAAAAATTAATCCAAAGCATGGGCATATATTGATCACGAAGTATCCATTCCCAAATATTATTTCATGGGGAATGTTTTATGGATATGTTAGAAATGCAATGGTTTTATATGTAGTTACTGTTATACAACTCATGAAGTGATTCGTATGCCTTGCTTTATACTTTTCAGAACATTGTAGATTGAATCCTTAAATTGCAAATATGATTGTATAGGATTTGCTTTTGGACTTCTGTGGCAGACTTAAATTACTTATCCGTAATACTATCACTTTTTGGTGCTATGAAAGAGAAAAAGCTGTTAAGTTTATGAATTTACGTTGGCATTTTGGTTGCATTAGTTAGTAGTCCATCCCAATATTTTGTTGTTGCATTGAAGCGCCTAGCTGGACCTATATTTCAATGGAACAGATTTAATAAAAAAAATTGTTAAACAAGCTCTCTGTTACTGGCAGTGCAGTCACTGCTAAAACGAACGACTTCTACTTCATGTTAATGACTTTATGCTTGCTATAGACACTTGTTTATGGAGTTTATCCTCTAGATATCATGGTGATGTTTTGACTGACTTGTACAGGGGAGGATTAGACAGAGATGAGAGTGGTGGTGGAGAAGATGGAACTGTGACCGGTAAAGCTTGTCCAAAGGGGCTGTATGGGACATTTTGTACGGTAAGTTGGCAATTCTGTTGCATTTTGAAAATTTTCAGATCTTTTCATTTGGATTGGAAATTTGTTGTTGAAGCTATAATTTCATCTTAAGCACATGGAACTTTAAAATGTTTAATAATCGAATTAACATTCTACATCAAATGAACTGCTTTCACTTTTCAAGTTTAAATTTGAAAAAATCTATCCAATCCAATTGTGGCCGCCTTTATGGCCAATGGATTTTTTGGACAAAATTTACTTTCTTTGGATAATGTTGTCTGCTAGTCCAAATTGGTTGGAGCAAGTCTACCTTTCCCCTCTTTCTACTAGTATATCCATTTTTTCCCTTTTGATCTGATGAAACCAGTAATACTTTACGCAGTTGAAGTTAACTTTCTGTTTCTACAGGAGTGTCCTGTTGGTACTTACAAGAATGTTAGTGGATCTGATAGTTCTCTCTGTCGTCCTTGCCCTGCTTCAGAGCTTCCCCATCGTGCCATTTATGCTGCTGTTCGAGGTACACTTGCTTGTTGTCAGTGTCATGCAGATTTTATTCGAATAACATACTGCTCTTATACATGCAGTTATTAGATTCTTTTAGTCCAAGTTTTTTTTCTTCCTGTTTTTATTTAGCATATATCAATTCAAAAGCTCCTTCTCCCTTCACAGGTGGTGTTGCCGAAACCCCCTGTCCTTATGACTGCGTTTCAGACATATATCACATGCCACACTGTTTCACAGCTCTTGAAGAGTTAATGTACACATTTGGAGGACCTTGGTTATTTGGTTTTTTACTTTTGGGACTTCTCATCCTCTTAGCACTGGTGCTTAGTGTTGCACGAATGAAATTTGTTGGGGTTGAGGAATTACCTGGTTCGGCTCATACTCAGCATGGCTCTCAGAGAGATCATTCTTTCCCATTCTTGGAATCATTAAATGAGGTTGTATACAAGCTTTCTTTGTATTATTTCATAGAATTCTTGGCCTAATATGCTGATATTTTTGTTCTTAACGATGTATTCCCCCCTCGTTAGGTTATCATTCCCTTGATGTTTACTTTAATTATGCCTTTTATCTCCTATCAGGTCCTAGAAACAAACAGAGTCGAAGAGTCACAGAGCCATGTACACAGAATGTATTTCATAGGTCCTAATACTTTCAGTGAACCTTGGCATCTACCTTGTACTCCTCCAGAAGAAATAAAAGAGACTGTGTGAGTATATTGCTGAGTTTTCTGTTCAGTTGCTTCCCATTCAGCAATATGCAATCTTTGATTGTGCTGCATACTGGATTTTATCAATATTTATTATTTAATTATTATTGTTGCATACTGACTTGATTTCCTTAATCTTGCAGATACGAGGGTGCATACAATACATTTGTGGATGAGATTAATGCAATTGCTGCTTACCAGTGGTGGGAAGGTGCCATTTACACAATTCTTTCTATTCTTGCTTATCCCCTTGCTTTGTCATGGCAGCAATGGCGCCGAAGAATGAGATTGCAACGATTACGTGAGTTTGTACGATCAGAATATGACCATGCTTGCTTACGTTCGTGCCGTTCACGGGCTCTCTATGAGGGGATTAAGGTTTCTATGTGCTTACTCTTTATTTCATTTGTTTAGCTTCTTTCTTTTGGTTTACTTCTCTCAGCAAATCTCATGGTTGTTTTAGCCGTCTTTGCTTCCTTCTTTATCATTTCCTTTTGTAAACCAACGATATTGACATGTCTGAAAACTAAGATGGATGCCTTTTATTTTCCAAACTCTCTCTAGTTTGATTGTAGAACATTCGGTGCTCTTGTTATTATCTGTATTTCTTGGAATTACAGTAACATTCTTCCTATTAATATCATATTATCATGTACCAATACCATCCTAAGTTCTCATCAATTCTGGAGATTTAAAATATTCTGTTCAATTTATGTTTCAAACATGCCCAAGAAATTATTAGGTTATTTATAAATAAAAAAATTAAACACACAAAATTTAGAGGAGTGATTAAATGACTCGTTTACATGATAGACGGATGCTTTGTTCTTGGAGGTGAAAATGCTTACTCCAAGACCAAAGCACGTCATCAGTAGAGCTACTGATATATCTGTCTGTATAGTTGCTTATGAGTGGAAGTAACAAGAACACTTGAAAACTGGGCTTTCAGTTTATAAACATCTTCTGATTTATGCATAAATTATACATATACTGTTTTGAACAGTTTCTTAAATCTTGAACCAAGTGTTGTTAAAACATATTTCTTGTCTATAGCTTCAAACTTGTAATTGTGGTTTTCTGTTGCTGAAGGTCTCTGCAACTTCTGATTTAATGCTGGCCTATGTTGATTTCTTCCTTGGTGGAGATGAAAAAAGAACAGACCTTCCTCCTCGCCTCCCTCAAAGGTTTCCTATGGTTATAATTTTTGGAGGTGACGGAAGCTATATGGCTCCATTTTCGCTTCAGATTGATAACATTCTTACCAGTCTTATGAGCCAGGTTAGTTGTTATATTGTAGCCATTTAGTGGGTATATCTTCAAAATTTTGGTTATAATGAATTTCTGTTAATTGTTGTACCTCTTACAGCTGGTGGCCCCTACTACTTGGTATCGGCTGGTGGCTGGTTTGAATGCACAATTACGCCTGGTTCGCCGTGGATGGCTGAGAGTAACATTTAAGCCTGTCATTCAATGGCTTGAAACACATGCTAATCCTGCTTTGAGAATCCATGGTGTACGCATTGATCTTGCCTGGTTTCAGGCTGCACCTGGGGGTTATCGGCAGTATGGACTTTTGGTGTACTCTATTGAAGAGGAAAATGAACCTATGTCCTTGGAAAATACCAATGGTGGGGTCAAAACTGAGCCACTTTCCAGGTAAAATATGTAGATGTGTGTCATTTTTTGTCTGAGCTTTAGACATTAAATTCCATGTGACCGGTAGTTCGGTATGGAAGTCAATTGGCATATCTTGAGCAGTTATTGAGTGGGGAAAGTGGGAAGCATTAGGCAGAAGGTGTAGGAACTGAAGTTAAAAAGAGTTGTTGCCCTTGTAAGATCTTATTGAAAGAAATCCAAATTGCAGAGTTTTTATTATTTGTATGCATTTGATGGAATCATTTGATGCTTGCTTATATGGAGTTTAACTTTGGTTGGTTAATTTATTTCCTGCAGTGTCAATATCGGATACGTGTCAAATCAATCTGGTTATCCAAGAGAAAATGTGCTATTGACCCAAGGTCACCGAAGCAGTGAAGGCTTTGCAAGACAGAAGAGGAGTTACAACGGGCTTATAGATTCTAACAGCTTAGATAAGCTTGAAGAGAAGAGAGATATCTTTTATCTTCTCTCTTTCATAGTCCAAAACACTAAACCTGTTGGTCAGCAGGTAATTCGCATGAATTTACTAATTATATTAATGTTTACTTGTAGTTATGTACAAATTTATATGTTTCATTTTAACACTCTGTCTATGTATGCAGGATCTTGTTGGTTTAGTGATGTCAATGCTACTTTTAGGAGATTTTAGCTTAGTGTTGCTTACGTTCCTCCAGTTATATTCAATATCGTTGGTGGATGTCTTTCTAGTTTTGTCTGTTTTACCTCTTGGTCTCCTCCTTCCTTTTCCTGCTGGCATAAATGCTTTATTCAGTCATGGAACAAGGCGATCTGCAGGTCTTGCACGTTTTTATGCTTTGTGGAATTTAACATCCTTGATTAATGTTGTAAGTTCCTCTTTAACTTTTTATTTTCATTTTACTTGTAAACATCTTTCTACAGTTCAACTAGTAATGCATTAATTTCAGACGTAATTTTACTTGCGAAAGAGCTAGCAATTGTGAATCTAAATAGCCTTTATCCCCCGCCCTCAAACATGAGAAAATTTATTCATCGATCACTACTATTTGATGGGAAGACGAGTTATCTTTTCTCTTAAAATTTCTTCTCCTTTCATTACGAGTTTCTTGGAGTACGATAAAGTGGTGAACTGTCCTGGTCTGAATGATAATCATCTTCTTCTCATCTTGGCACCAGGGTGTTGTATTTCTTTGTGGGTATATTCACTATAGCAGGCAGTTGTCATCAAGCAAAAAGATCCCGAGCCTTCAGCTATGGAGTTTTAACATGTAAGGCAAACAGGCGTTCTGGGCGCAAGTGAAATTACAGTATGATGACCATTATTTTTCTTTTGTTAATATGGGATGGTTTTGGATGCAGGGATGAAAGTGAATGGTGGATTTTCCCGGCCGGACTGGTATTGTGTAAGCTTTTCCAATCACAACTTATAAACTGGCATGTTGCGAATCTAGAGATTAAAGACCGGTCATTGTATAGTGATGATTTTGAGGTATTTTGGCATAGATGAATGTTAGATATATAGCATTAACAAGGCTCTTCTGTTGAGTCATTTACTGTTTGGTTTTCTGTATCTAATTTTTAGAGTAACAAGTGGTTCCTTGACACAAGTAGAAACTAGAAATAGAGGGTTTAAAAAAGGGTAAAGTGTGAAGATGGCAAATCATTGTTGTAGTTCCAATTTCTCAAGAGCTCTTTCGTATTAATTTTGGGAGCTGCAATGTAAATAAAAGATTTGGGGTTGGCACAAAAAACGTTTTAAATACATTTTAAGACTAATACGAAAATTTTCAAAATAAACACCACATTAAAATAAATAAATAATCGGAAAAAAATAGATTTTAAGGTAATAAAATCAGTAATTAATTGAAGGAAATTTAAATTTTAAGATGATAAAATCAAGGTATACACGTCTCCGCTGAGGTCTGGGTGGGAAAAGGTGGCGGAGCAGCTGGTCACTCTTGGTAATTCTTAAGGATATATACAAGTGTGCGTCTTTTTTCATAAAGTCTCTCCATTTGGGGTATTAAATACATCATTTTATGAGGTGAAGCCTCTCTAGTTCTTTTGTTATTCTCTCCCTTCCTCTTGCCCTTCCTCTTATGAAGAGAGTCAAACCCAAACCCTTATTTCTGATAGCTTTTAAGAGAGACCCTATTTGGCTATTTTCCAAAACCATCGTTCATCAACCTATACGACAGAACTGATAACTAATAACACAACATCCCAGCATTTCCACCATTAGATTAAGCCGTTGACCAAAAGGGAATTCTTATTAAAAAGAAGGGGAAACGAGAGATTTACAGCTCCAAATTACAAAAGCATAAACCTACCAACACCAACAAAACACAAGACGTCAACCCAACAGAGATTCATAAACCCTAAAATCCCACACTTCCCTTTTTTTATAAACTCTGATATCCTTGGCCATGTGTAACCTCCTGAGCTTTATGCTGCACGTACTGTCCATATTCCTTGGCTTTCTCGGTCATATCTCTAGCAGTGCTTGCAAGCTTATTCCTCGCGTAATCAAGCTGATCAGCTCCCAACGGATGTTTCCCTTGCACGTAAAAGTACATCCACGATAACGCCGTTATCGCCGCCACTGCACACCCACCGGAAAACAAGAAGCCACTTATGAGCAAGAATATCGTTATCCCAGCCGGGACGAGAACAGGGCTGAAGATAACGATTAACGGCGTCGCCATGATCAAGGCAATCACCGTACCTGTCAAGGTTAAGGCGGACAAGAATAGCAGTGTTACACCCAATGTGGAGGCGGTCAAGAACTTGGCCACTTGACGAGAAGACGGAGCCGACTCGTAGAGCTTCTGGGTCATCGGCATGTTTTGATCGTTGATCGACATGATGATGGACGGCTCTGATTCTGTTTGATAATGATGAAGAAGAGGAAGAAGCTGATTATTAGAAAGAGCGAGGACTAGAGGGAAGTAGTGGGACGTTGGGAGGGTGATGGCGGTGATATAAGGAGCTGGGAGATCGAGGAGGGGGGTACGTGGCGGACGGTGGAGGGGTTCTCGTGGTGCGTGAAGAGGTGAGGGTATCAAAATATGTTTCTGCTTCCTCTAAGGTTTGCGCGTGTTGGTTTGAGGTGCTCTGCATGGTTGTGGGTTCACGAGGAGGTGACACGTGCTTTCTATAAGGCTGCTGCTATGGGTCTTGACCTTGGGGCATGGGACTAGTTTCAGTAACGGCTTCCTCGTAAAGGCATTTTGAGGCAATTCCTTTTTTAAATTGTTTTAATTGAAATGTCATTATAAACAGATATTTTTGTTAAATATTAGATAAAATTCTTATTTAGATACTGTTTCAGATAAGGACCAAGCTTGTAATACAGAGGTGAGATTTGGTACTTGAGCTGAATATTTACCCATAAACGGAATAGTTGTATGTGCCGCTTAAGGCAAGTATCTCTGTTGCCTGTAATAAACCGGCAAGGTAAGTGTCGTAACCGATTTTGGTCCGGGCACGAAATATTAAAAATAATTATATATTTTAAATTTTTTATATATTTTTTATTAAAAATTTATTATTGTTCCTTTAAAATCTTATAAATTTAATTTTTTTAATTTTATAAATTTAATTTAATCTCTTTAAACATAAAATTCTGTACCGAGATATACTTGTGGCGTGGCATGTGAAGAAGGATGCCCAGCTTCAACATGAAGAATATGAACGTCTAGTGATTATCCTCGTCAGCAGTTTGCCTGTTCCTTACACCAAAGAAGAAAACATGGGATGATAGACTTCAACTTGAAAGCCTAATTCAATCAACATGAATTCAAATCTGCCATAAATTTAGTCCATCATAAAAATTCCAATCAATTCTCTTAAATTATGACATTTTAAATAAGTCCTAAAATGTTTTAATATTCTTATTTCGTCCCTAGATTATGTAAATTGGTCTATAAACCTTTGAACACTCTACTTTCATCTTTAAACCATAACCTTCGTTACAAATTGACCACCTTGTTCTGTTTCTCGGTGATACGCTGCAAATCAAACGACAACAATCCAATAACTAATCCTATATATACATGTGTGCTACTTATATGCTACTTCCATGTAACTGGAACCGTCCATCGGGTGGATTGGTTGAAGTGGATTGGTCGATGGGTTCAACGGACACTTGAACAATAACCTATAACTTTTAACACTGTTTACTAACGGTAACAGATGTTATAAAAGGGTTTGAACAATAACCTATAACGTTGATGTTCCTCTCATGGTGTTTGAGACCAGGCTGCTTCAACTGTAATACAGCGTTTGATGGAAAATATAAGAAGAGAGAAAGGGTTTAACATGGCTTTGAATCGGATATAACTTTGGGGAATTCGTTGTTGAATGCACATATAAAATGTGGGAGCATTGAGGAAGCAAGAGCGTTGTTAAATGCATATATATAACTTTGGGGAATTCTTCGATTTCTGGTTATACTCAGTTAGGAAATGTTGAGGATGGGTTGAAAAATACAATGAAGGGAAGTGCTTGATGAAATGTGTCAGATAATACATGGGATAAATATTAAATCTTGCAAATGATAACCAAGTTTTAGACTTTGCCTGGTGGTAGCGTGAAAAGGTTTAACCTTTGAAATTTGGGTTAGATACCCACGTAAATTTTCCAATTTCATATTTAAACCAATGAAACGATGACAATATTGGTCGGAAATTATTTAAAAATTAATATAATTAATTTTTACTGACGTGGCAAATACCATGTCAGCATCTTTGCACATGTGACACTACCACGTCAGCGTGCGATGTTATTTAAGCTTATCTTATCATCTTCATGCGTTGGCCATTAATTGACTAACGATTTTCATCTAACGAGGGTGTTTTTTTGACCCAAAATGAAACATTAAAAGGTCAAATGTTCCAAAAATAATAAAAAACAATAAGCATAAATTTGACAATACTGCCAAATGTTAGGAGTATTTTATTACATTATACCTTTTAAAAAAGTTGAAAGTTTAAGTAATAAAACAAACTAAAACTGATAATTTAAATACTAAACGTGTAGTTTACCGAACGTTTTTCTAATTTTTCCTATAAAATTGTCAATTTCCTCAACCATATTGGTTGATTAATTACTGTACGTTATCCATTATTACTTGTGACAATATAATGTCAAATCGTTTTCATTACATTTTTTTCTTCCAGATGGTTTTCACGAAATTTGCACTAAATTAAAAAAAAAATTATTTAAATGTTCGACATTTTAATACTCTAATCTCCTCCAATAATTGTTCTATGAGGAATGCTAATACGGCATATAGCACGAAATACAATGATATATATACACAAGCAAAATTTCACCATGACATCAACTATATAGATGCCACAACATTGGGGTTTTATTTGACTGCTGAGAAAACATCACTATAAGCATGTATCTTGCAATAGGAAAACAACAATAAGAATGTAATAGCAGCTATTGATTTAATTTAATGATGAAACGAAAGCTTAATAAGTCGAGACGCTTCGAAAGTACCGGGAAAAATGCAGGATCGATGCTAACCGTAACCGTGACAAAATGGGAAAGGAACCACCTTATTTGTATTCGAATGATGGCACAGGAGGTGCATCGAAGCTCTCCAAAACCTCGGTTTTACTTCCGCTACCAGTAGTTGTTTCCTGCTTCTTTCCACCCAAAAGTCCTCCGAACCATGAAGAGGAAGAATTAGACGAGGCCGATGATGATGGTGGTGGAGGTGGTGGAGGCGCTGAGCTGTGTCTAAAACTATCAATCGATGCAGGGGCTTGGTTTGGAAGTTGTCCCATTGGATATCCGGGTATTCCGGCTACGTTGGGTGCTGGCTCGTCAATCATGACGGGCATCTGCGGTTGGCTGAGAACTTTATTCAACATGATACCAGCTCCTTCGATCAGAGCAAGCAAGACACCACCGAAAATTGCTGATCTGGAAGCAGCACCGAATCCTTGACGCATCGAAAGAAACCCTCCAGTCGCGGCACCGGCTATAATGGAGTTCCATGGATCCTCTTTCTGCCGGACGTACACCATTGTGCAATCGAAGGTGGAAAACAGGCCACCCCAAACAGCGAAACTACCACCGACACGAGGGGCATTCATCCGCACCGCTTGAGTTCCTCCGGTCAACCGAGCACCACTCGGGGAGTTATATGTGCCTTTCAAGAAGTGAAAGGCTGCACCTCCAACAGCACCCATACCAAAAGCACCACCGATATCATCGAGAATTCTATCGGGGCATGGCTCCCGTGAAGTTTCAGGGGTCCCCATGGTTCACAATATAGTACCTTTCTAATCAAAACAACCTACAAGGTTCAAAATTCACTATGAAATTCACCAAAACATCAATCAAAATAAACTGCTAACCTAGTTTAATTGCAACAAGCTAACACACTATCAAACCAAACAAAATCAACATAGGGAGACAACTTAATAGATTCAAAAATTCCAAAGAGAGATTAATATAAAAGATCACCAACAGCTAGTATCAGGTATAGTTTCGCAAAAATTCAAAAATTCACGTATAAGAAAAATTGTAATTTTTTTTCAAAAAAAACGATCGAAGCTGAAACATTAGGAAACAAAGGAAGAACAGATAAAACCCTAGGAAAAATTTATAGTTTTGCATGAACGAAACTATCGATTTCTCTCTTTTACCTCGGCGGCGATCTGCCAGAGAACTTGGAGGTCTCGACAAGAAATGAGGGGATTAATTCACGTAAAAACAAACGAAAAGGAAAAGCAAGGCAATCAACTAACCCTACTTGGTAAAGCAAAGGAATTGCCGTTGAGCATTGGGTTGGGTTCGTTTCTTAATGATCATTTATGAATGGGCTCCACGAATTTGCCTTTGAGTTGGACTCGGTGTTTAGTTTTTAGAGGCTTCTCGGCCTATTTTATTTTATTTTATTTTAAGAAATTTTTATGAATAATAAAATAAATTTATATTATTAATTGATATATAGTGTATAATAGTTTTTTTTTACAAAAGTGTATAATATTTATTGATATAAAGAATTTAGAACTCTATTATCTTGAAATATTTAATCTAAATTAATCGATCAATAAAAAATATTTATTTTTATATAAAAAACAAATGTATAATTCTAATTTTAATGAATATCAAATTTTAATAATAAAATATATTAAAATTTTATACTATATACAGTTCTAATCACAATAAATACACATATAATAAATATTTATAATTAATTTTATCATTAGTAAAATCTGAAATGATAACTTTGGTCCTCGTTATTATATTTTCGAATTAAGTTAGCTTTCAACTTTTTATAAAAATGAGAAACTATTTTATAAATAATATTAAAATTTCAATATATTAACATGATAATTATTATGAAAATCTACGTGTATTTCTTATTAACATAATACTATTTTTTTTATAAATAACATGAAATACACATAATTGTTATACAATTGTTATTTCGGACTTTTCATTAAGTTAGCAATTTACATTATTTCGAGTGCGAGAGGTAAGTCGCTTAATATGGTTTAAGTAGGTCTCGAGTTTAAATCCTTGTATATGCAGAAAATCTAGGCTGTGAGACTCGTTCACCAAAATCAGGTGTGCGACCCGAATTAGTCCAGATTAATCGAGACGTGGAACCGGAAGGGAAAAAAAACAATTTGCATTATTTCTCTCTTTCCTTCACTTTATTCTTCGACCATTACATAAATTTTAAGATGACAATAATTTATATTTTACAAAGTTAAATATGTTTATATATTAGTATTAGTATTATATTTATATCAGAATTTAAAAATTCGACCATAAGTTGCAGGAGAAAGAAAGTAGAGGATGCTATTGTTACTATTACTGAAAAGTTTAGTTATTCAAAGAGACATAACTACGTCAATTACTACATATATCCTTGTTTTTTCCAAATATAGTAATGAACTAATATTGTGTATATATATATATATATATCCATCGATAGGGCATGCAGGTCATGGTGTTCGAGAAACAGCAGCTTGTTTCTCCATCTGAATCAAACCCAAGACAAAGCAACGATTTATACAAATGTTAGTGCTACTTAATTACAATTTATGATAATATAATAGAAATTGAATGGATCAGAAATGTAAGACCTGAAGATAATCTTCCAGCTTCCTCCTCAAGGCCACGTACTCTTGCTTCACCTGTTGAAAACTCCTCATGCATCTATGACATCAAGACATTGAGTTCACTTTAGTCTCCCTATTACGGGTAGATCACGAGTTATCTTCGTAAAAATTTACGATCTTGTTTGTTTGCTCGTAATTATCTTTTCGATTTCGTAACAAGGAGTAGCTGATGAAACAAAAAGTAGACAAGAGAATTACCCTTCTGCATTTTCAGCGCTGCAGTGTTCTCTGAAAACGGAGCATTCATTCATCACCCTCTTTGCTCCAATGCTTCACGAAAATTACAAAAAATATAAAACCAAGTAAGTCAGATAAACAAGACAGTATATCAATTCACGGTTTCTTTAGTATCCAACAGTTTACCTAGAGCTGCTTCCCTTGAACTGATGCATGTAGTCATCCAGCTTATTAAAGTCAATAGGCCTAGTGCTCCTGCATGTGCATTTATGGATTAATATATTCATGACACATTGATGCTTAAAATGAGAATCTATATATGATGTTTCCCCTTACAGTGCATGCTCGATGTTCTGAATCAACCTTGCCGAATCGGTGTAGAACAGTGTGACAATTTCTTGTACGAAATTGGGGTTGGCATCATCCTGCAACTCCTCCAGCTGGATGAATGGCTCGTCAAGATAACCCTACAAATAATGCTTCATTCATTTTCAATACGTCGAGAGATCTCCCGACTCTTTCGAGAGAAGTCCATAAAATGTTACTCGTCGAACAGTCTCGAACACATGATAATATATTATTTTCGGGTCGGGATATCATCAACAATAGAGGGAAAAGAGAGAAACCTGATCGAAGAGGGACCTTCTCATACAGTCAACTTGGTGTTGTAAGCCATTCCTATCCATCCTTGCTTTTCTTTGTAAAGGAAGTGGGCGAAATTCTTCGATGACCAGTAATCGGCAGCTTCATGCCATGGCCACGCCCTGTATTTATAGTATGCGGTTATATTAGAAATCAACGTATAAATTTATGTTAAAGTTTATAAAATTTTAAGTGGGATAAGCTAAAGAGGGTTTTAGAGAATAAAAATATATTATCACTAGAAAAAAAAAACAAAAAATGTCTAAAATTTATGAAAATCTTAAATTTTTTAAAGACAATTATTTCATTTGATTCCTTTGATCCATCCTTATCTTCATGCAAGAGAGAAAGGGAGAATCAAATGAAAATGTATACGTGTCAAACGATTATCAAATTAGTATATCCTTTCAGAACTTTATTTGCTAAAAGAAGAAGTTATTGATGAAATAGACGAATTACATTTTGTACCATATTTGTATAAAAAATCGTATGAAAATTTAAAAATTTTCGGCACAATTATTTCATGTGATTCATTTGATCTATCCCTACCCTCATGCAAGAGAAAAAGGAAGAATAATTGGGTAAAACTAACAAAATGAGAAATTATTTCATAGATTCGGTTTATCATGTCATCCATGGTCTCAATGAATGACAGTCATAAGTTTTAGAATAACTTTCAAATAACTACCCATTTTTTATTTATCTTAGAAAAAAAATTATGTGAACAAATGTTATTGTTTGGGACCACGGATGACGTAGTGAACTGCGAGCATCTAATAATTTCATCGACAGAAGGAGAATCAAATGAAAATGTCTACGTGTCAAATGATTATGATTATCAAATTAGTATATCCATTTAGATTTTTATTTTGCAAAAAGAAGAAGTTCTTGATGAAATAGACGTATTATATTTTGTACTATATTTGCATAAAAAGTCGTATAAAAATATATAGACTTTAAAATTTTGGTTTAATATAAAAATAAGTGTCTAAATTATACTCAAAATTAATTTTTGGTGTCTAAAGATTTTTTCGCTAAAAATAAGTGTCTAAAGTTTTCTCCGTTATATTTTTAGGTGTCTATCGTTAAATGACATGTGCCACATCCAAATTTTAAAAAAATATTTTATTTTTAAAAATTAGAAAAATATAGATATGACACGTGTCACTTAACGAATTTTTTTAACAGTAAACACCTAAAAATGTAACGGAAAAAACTTTAAACACCTGTTTTTAACGAAAAATTCTGTAGGCACAAAATTATTTTTCGATCTTTAGGCAGTTATTTTTTTTAAGCCTAAAATTTGTAAGGACAACTATTTCTTTTGATTCCTTTAATCCATCCCCACCCTCATGCAAGAGAAAAAGAAAGAATAATTAGGTAAAATCGACAAAAGGGAGAATCAAATGAAAATATCCACATGTCAAATGATTATCAAATTAGTATATACATTCAGGTTTTTATTTTGCTAAAAGAAGTTCTTGTCTTCTTGATCACATTACATTTTGATTTTGTACTATATCTGTATAAGAAAAATCGTATATGGCCGTTGGTAGTATGCATTATTAGATATCAGATATTATTCGATTCGAAAATTCAAATCACTAAAATCACAATCTATATCTAATCTCAAAAAAATCTTATATCTAAATTTTCGGATAGGATGTCCTTTACAAAAGTTACTGAGATTAAAAAAGATTAATCGAAGTTGACCCAGAAACCTATGCAGGCTGCAGTATGTTTACAAAAGTTACAAAAATAAGGTCATGATTCATGAGGAGACAAAAACAGGGAAATGGAAAGACCAAGATTATGTTATTGATTGGAATGAGAACATTACCTTAACAAAGAGTAGACGGTGGTCCTTGTCGCTTGTCTGGTATCTCTGTCCGTCCCTCCCGTGTAACTGTCAGCCTAAAGTTAAAGGAAGAGTTGATAAGAATGTCTTCTTTATTCCTTTGCCACCCATTAAAGAGAGTGGAAGAGAAAGAGTTAGAAGAGGATTTTACAAGGTCATCGGCATCCCAGTCTCCCTCGAATGGCCTTTTACAGATGCCTCATCACATCTTCACCTTCGTTGAAGAAAAGGCTGAGGACACGTAGAGTTGATGAGAATATGAATTGCTGATTTTGACTTTCACTACAAGGATCGATATTCGTTTTCTACCACTGGCTCCCACGCTGATCAGAATCTCCCCATGGACACAATAAGCACTAAATGCAAGGACAGGTTATAGAAGAATGATGCTTGTTCCTACTCGAATGACAATAATGAAAGAGTTTAAGGCTTAAATAGGCTCATGGTGGCTTATACAAATAAAATTGTCTTGGAAAAAAAAAACAATAAATCCCCACCTTTAAAGAACAATAAGGGATATAAGTAGCACCTGTCTGGAAAGGAGAGTAGAGGAAACTCCATCAAACAATTTATGGTCCTCCAAAAAAAAAGTAACCTTTTCACTCATTTAGAACATTTCAATGGGCATATACTCAAAAAAAAATGGTGGGCGATGATGAATCATCCAAAAGTAACGTTAGAGTAAACTAGGTAACATTTTAGGTTGAAACTAATAATATTATGTTCTTCATGAGAAATCATTAAATTATTATCGATTGTGTAACTTTTTAGAGTAGACATGATAACATTTTAGGCTAAAACTCACCGTAATGTAACATTTTCGATTACAACTGAAATTATTATTAATTGTATAACTTTTTGAAGTAGACAGAATAACATTTTAGGTTAAAACTTGTCGCACATTAACCTTAAGTTTCTCCACCGCATAGCAGAACTACATCTCATAACGACCCTGCAGAAGTTGAAAACCTCACTAATGATAGAGAGACCTCAGTGGATGATAAACACTTAGCTTTCAGATATGCAAAACCAATACTATGCCAAAAGTAGGGTGTAGACACTGCATTTTGTCCGGGCTTCAATGGGGGGTTTGCTCCTCTTAAATTATTAATCATAGATTTTAATTGACAGTGATAGCTTATCACTAGTATTATTATATTTTTGTAGGGGTCTTATTATTATATTATATTTTTAATGATTACTGTGTAATTACGTACATATGGGTTTAAAGTAATTGCAATTTTGGATGTATTTTGTTTTAGGTTGTCATAATAGAGTTACTAAATGAATATATATAATATTAAAAGTTAAATATGAACTTATTTTATTTTTTTCCAGGTCCATTACAAATGCAAAATAAGTCCAATTTAAATGACCCAAAACTAGACCAATTTTAGCAGTCCAATAATTAATAATATTATTTTTTTAGTGTAACATAAGATTTTCATGTAATTAAAGTTTATGTTAAGTTTGAGCTTGAGCTTCAATCAAGCTAAGTAAGAGGATGTTTTAAGTTAAAGTTTTTCCGAGCATGAGTAGCACTTCAAATTTTGATTTTAAGTTATAGTCGAGTTTAACAAATGTAAGCTTGTTGTCTTCAAGTTAAATTAAGCTCCGCTTTAAACTATTAGAGTAGAGCCGAATTTACCAATACTTGAACTTAACTTAATTCATTTATAGCCCTAATTCAAATGTTTAAGGACTAATTAGAATAAATGTCATAGTTTAAAGCTGTATATTGCATTAGCTCTATTAATTGAATCCAAAACTCATGGTATGTTTGTTTTCCTGTAATTGATTTTCTAGAAAATATTTTTCTCATTTTCTAGTGTTTGGTCGACGGAAAACAGATGATTAATATAATTCATTTTTTCGTTTGCATTTTCTAGGAAATTACTTACCATTTGATTTTCTTAAATCATTTTATGAACTTTTCAATTTGAAGCATAAACACTCAAATTATTATTATTATTATTATTATACAATTTTAATAAAAAATATTAATTGTTAAATTATACCTATTTATAATTTTAAAAATATAATATTATATTTTATTGTTATAATCATATTATAATATATAATATTATAATTTTGTTTTAATAATATATAATAAATTATTAATAAAATTAATATTATTTATTAATTTCATAAAATTAATATCGTTGAATTGTTGAATATTTAATATATAATCTTTAAAATAGAATATAATATTCTTATTTTATTATTATATTTTTTTAATATTTTAATAATATTATTATTTTAATAATTAATTAATATAATCAATAATATATTATTCTCATTTTAATAAGTAATTAATATAATTTATAATAATTTTATTTAAATAAAATATAATAATCATAATTTTTTTACTTATAAAATTGTAGATATAATATTTTAATAGTAATATTAACATAAATAATATTAAATAAATTATTTTAATATTTTAAAATTATTATTATTATTTTTTAATAAATAACATTATTCATTGTATTTGATGTTTATAAAAAATTTAAAAAAATTATCAACCAATAAAAAATAAATTACATAACATCATTTAAACACAAGAAAATAATTTTTAAAAATATTTTAAATGGCCATTCGCGGCCACTGAAACTTCACAAGACTTTAGGGTTCTCCATCTTATACATAACCTTCCTTAATCCCTAGATCATTTACCAGTTGCATCCACCAATTTATAGTAGGAAGATTTCAAAATTTACAGCTTCTGTTTGAAAAGAGAGGGAAAACACCCGCTATTTCGTATTGTTTGATGGATCGTCCACGACCGAGACAGAGGCAGAGAGCAGTCTTGTCTGGATTTACCAAAGCTGAGGTGAAAATTTCTTTCTTTTCTGTTTTTAAACTGCATTTCTTTATCTGGGTAGCTATCAGTTTCACCATTTGTTAAGAAATTGAGCTTCAGATTGTGAGGTCTGGAACAAATGGTGCCATGTTTACATGTATACATATATACAAACACACATAGATATGTATGTATGTATGTATATGGATATTTCCCAATGTAAGCAAAAAAGAAAGCTTTCTATACAAGTATATGTATTGTCCATATTTATGCTTCTGATTAGCTTTTGTTTGCGTGTTGATGTCTATTTGTAATTCATGAACATGTGAAGTTAGAGTTGTTGTCTTGATTCTGGATTTAGTATGTCATAGTTCTGATTCATTGAATGATGCTTCGTGCATATGTATTAAAATTATATATTTATGTACAGATCAAGAAGTTGGAGAAATTGTTAACGGAACCAAGAGATGTACTGCAGACTAAGGAGTTTTGTCGAAAAATTGCTAGAAATTTCAGGTTAGTTGCATTTCATGTATATTCCCCGATCCTCAATGAATTATCTTGGACTTAGATGATGCATATTGTCTCTGCAGTTCATCCGCTTATCGTACTGGCAAACCTAGTATTAAATGGATCGAGGTCTTTCTTTATCTGCTCCTTCCATTTTAGCTTTACCTATTTTCTCCTTTTGTCCTTAAAATATGGTTATGGTGTAACGGTTAACGGGTTAAGACCTCTCCTATTGATCCACAATTTCCATTATTAATTCTCAGGTACGAAGTTGGTTCTTAGCTAGACAGAAAGAAAGCACGTCTAAGGTTCGTTCCTTGGCCGGTACATCCAAAACCGAGTACAGGATTGCCGAAACTTGCTCTCTGGACAATGGACCTCAAATTTCTCAGTTTCTCAAAGGTTTGTCTTTTCGGGAATTCAAAAATCGAAATGTTCAAAATTGGCGAAGTTTCAGATTCTCAATTTGTTACCCCATTTCATAAAAACTTGGAAGTCCTACAAGCATTGAGGAAATGTTTCTCCATTCTTGTTTTTGAACGTGAAGTTAAATAAACTAATTGTTTGAACAAAATCGATTCTTTGTCTCTCTTTAAGCAACAGGGTGAAAGAGGTGGACTGGCCTTCACTATCCTGGTTCTTATTTTACTTCTACTAGTATAGACCGAGAGTATCTAATTTAACACGGGTTTCTTCGTCATTTCGACTTTTTCTGTGAAAATGCAATATGTAAGTTAACCACCATCCCTTTAGATCTATGTTCTGGAGACTAATTTTTCCCCTGTATGTTGGAGTGATTTCAAAAGTGGGAGAAAAGATCCGTGATATCTCGGAACTACAGTTCGAGGCGAAGTCATCTAAAGATGGAGCGTGGTAAGCACATGAATCTAAACTAATTCAACGGAAACCGTCTACGTTTCTCGGTTGTTATCCTCATCTCTACTTATAGAAAATGTGGATTGACATGTGTTTATTCTGTTATGTCATGGGCAATTATATTTTCTAAACCAAGCTTATATTTGTAATAAGTTGATTTTAATGTTCAGGTATGATGTTGATACGTTTCTCACACAACGACATCTCGGTTCTGGTGAAGCTGTAAGTAACTAGGTCCTACTGTTGCATCCGCTGTATATACTGATGCATGTCATCAGCGAATACAATGATTTACAAGTTGTTTGATAAAGCATATCCTCTGTTGTAGGAAGTTCTTGCTAGATTTATTGGATTTGGGGCTGATGAGGATGAATGGGTTAATGTAAAAAACGCAGTACGACTGCGATCCATCCCGTTTGAACATTCCGAATGCAATAAGTTGGCGGTCGGAGATCTTGTATTATGCTTGCAGGTAAGTATAAATGCACTTCCAAAATTTCTCGAATAATCTTGCACCAAGTTGTTGCTTAATTTTCTTGTCTCTCTCTTGTTTTTTAGGAGAAAAGGGATCAATTAATCTACCATGATGTTCATGTCATAGAGATCGAAAGGAAAACACATGACATAAGGGGTTGCAGATGTATCTTTTTGATCAGATACGATCATGACGGGTTCGAGGCAAGCATTGTGTCTCACAGCATATGCTTTTTTAACCAAAATACCAGAAATTTATTTCCTCTTAAGCTGATTATACCGACCGTTCTCATCTTTACCTTGCCTTTTAGGAGAGAGTTCGATTGAGGAGACTGTTTAAAATTCAAGGCCAACAAATCAGATTGCTTGCATGATGCTTTTGAATCTGAGCTTATCTTCCGATCACAGTCGCATTATTCTCCGAGTGAGTTCATTCATTGCAGTTTTCTGAACAAGAGAATTACAAATTTGTCAATATCTATAGCTGATATGCATCGTAGAACGACCTATCTATCGATCTATATGTATGCATATATACTAATTTCGAGTCTTGAGGGATATTTCTGATGTTTGTCGGGCTTCGTTTAAGGTCCCTTTTTGTCTATGTTGTTCCTACATTTGTGGTTTTGTAAATAATTTAAGTTTAAATTATATTCGTTTAAGTTTTGGTTTCGGTCTCACAACGGAACTGCATACAATAATAGATGTGTTCGATCGAAATTCGTAACTCTAACCTGAGAGGGCGTTGAGGAGAGAATCCGTTGAAGGTTGACAGAACTTAAAATTCCAAAGGTAACATGGGAAGAAAGGGGTTATGTAGGAAGAAGGGTATGCCAAATATATCAAACTATCAGTTCAACCGATCGACTAGAAAATGATTTCTTTTACTTGATTCTTTTCACTTTCAACTCAATTTTTTTTGCATGGTTCCCTTGTGAGACTCGAATATGACATTCGAAACGGTTCGAATTTTCGAGTCAAATTTAAGTTATTCGAATCTTCGTGTCAAATTTAAGTGTGACATCTGTGGTTTGGGAATTGTTTTTCAATTCAATTGATAATTTAATTGAAGGGTAAAGTTCGACATATTATTATATTGGTACGTAATGGGGTGCGTATATTTGCATGATTTTTAATTACAACATCTATACGATAAGGATTATCATATATATATTAAAATCAAACTGAGAATATATTCTTTACGCGACAGCATCGCTTGTTTCCATATTCATCACCCAACCTAATTTCTGTGCATAATACACCGAAAAAGCAGGCATTTGTCCTCTCTCTTCAAAAGCCAAATCCGAGTCCTTTTAAAAAAATATCAAACAAACAATCAGCTGAACTAGTGGGATGAGGTACTAGGTCCCTTAAGCAAGGTCGGAGGTTCGAATACTAACGTTTGCGAATGGAGCAAACTAGGTTGGGAGGGTTGCCCTTGCCTCTGTAGTACCCGATCTGAATTAGTTGGTCAAGAGATCGGATGTCGATGATTAATTCAAATAATAATAATAATAATAATAACGAAAGAACAGTTGTGGTTAAAATTGGTCAAATTTCATTTGTAGTTCTTATATTGTGTATTTTTTTTTAATTTAGCCTTTTTATTACTCCATATAAACATATTTTCATCCATGACCCATGAGGTTAATTTATTTTCGTTAATTTTGTCTAATAGTTCAATTTAAAACATACGATAGTGTGATTAAAAAAGATAAAATTTATATAATATTTGTTCACTTGCATCTAAAAATGCCAAGATGTATCTCGAGTCCATTTTTTCTACAGAAGTCTGCAATATTATCGACCGTTCCCCGAGGACGATCGTGTACAGGGACAAATGTAGGATTTTATGTTAGGAAACGAACTTGAACTTGTAAAATTTCAGGGGCGAAAACAAATTTTTAATAAATAATACATAGAAAAAATTTAAAATATATGGTAATTTTAAATTTTCAAGAGAGCATGCCCCCTCTCGATCCATCCTGATCATGGAGTGAAAGCTCCTCCGAGTAGGGCTGTAAACGAGCCGAGTCAAACTTGAGTATTGCTAAGCTCGACTCAACTCGAAAACTCTAAAATGGAGTTCGACTCGGCTTGAAAACTCAAGAACCTAAAACTTTCAAGCTCGATTCGAACTCGAAACCATGAATTAAAGCTCGTAAAACCTCTAAATGAAAAAATCTTAAAATTAATTCGATTGAAGCTCAAACTCGAACCTGAATCTTAAATACATGAAAATTTTATAATGTAATTTAAAAAACAACAACACATAAATGTTAATAAATACTAATACATTGATTTTTTAAAAATAAAACCTTAATATATTATATTTTTGAGTTTCTCACGAGTTTTTCGAGTCGAGTATCAAGTAGCTTGTTTTGGCTCTCGAGTCGAGTATTTATCGAGCTTTGATCGAGTCGATCTCAAGTAGCTCACAATCTGTCTTATCTCATTTACAGCCCTACCTCCGAGTATTTGAACAATATCTGACTTGTGTGATATACTAGGGATGGGCACAGGATTGGAACCCGACCCGATCCGATCAGGTCGGATTTTTTTTTTAATTTGGGTCTGGTCGAGTTGGTTTTTCTAGAGATTATGGTCGGGTCAGATTCGGGTTTATGGTGAAAAATGTCCCACCCAACCCAAAAAAAAATATAAATTTACCTTATATATTTAGGTATAATTGCAATAAGACCTTTCTATATATTATTTTTTCAATTAGATCCCTATTTTTTATTGAAAAAAAAATTATAAATATATTATTTCAGGTCGGGTTGGATTCATGTTTTATCTCGAAAATACAGGTCGAGTGGAGGGTGTATAATTTTTGGGTCAGATCATATTGACTGAAATCTGACCCATGTCCATCCCTATGATATACCCTTGATTGTGAACCCCCAAGACTCTTCTTAACAAATTCGAGGCACATCAACATTTGATATGTTTTAAAAATATCATACTAAACTATCTCACAAAATTAACAAAAAGAAAATTGATTTCAGACCTGAAAAAACACATTTCAAAATATCAAATTATAGTGGAGACACTAAATTCGAAAAAATACACAAGATAGTGTCCTTTTGTACAATTTGACCTTAAAAAACCCTACTGAAATGTTATATATATATATATATATCTTACATATTTGATGCTTCTTCTTCCCCCTAAAGATCAAACCTCAACATATAAACTTTCAAACGAAGTACAGAAAATTTTTAGCCATAGTAATCTGCTGCATCCATGACAGCCAACCATTTTTGCAACCTTAATTGCGTGTAAAAACTTTGAATAAACTCCTCAGCCGCTTCGTCTACACGGTACTCATCATCATCATCCTTTAACACCACCAATGGCGACTCCCTACTAATCTTCTTGCCTCTCCTTCCCTTCGGTATCGCTAACGCCTTCGGCAACGGCGACTCGTAGTCGCCCGCATCTCTACACCCTCCGAAACCGACACCGTCCAGTGTTCGAGACCGTGCGGCATAGTACCGGTAACGCCCCGATTTTTGCTTTCGACGATGCAAGGGGACGTAGGGTTGATGCGACGGACTAGTCCGGCAACTGAACTCGTACTCCATCGGCGACACGAACGAAAGGTGCACGTCTCTCGACCGGCAACTCAACGAAGCTTCGTTTAAAGCTTCTTTTCCCACGACCTTCCCGCGTTTCATTAAGAAATGAAGTTCGTCAAGCACGAGCTTGCCCTTTGAGAAGCCTTTACGTATCATGTTAGATAGCTTCTTGGTGATAAAGGGTGGGCTTGGCTCCATATCTAAAGGCAAATTTAGGGTTCCCCCCCCCTCTCTCTTTGTTGTTGGAGAAGAATATAGGAGGAGAGATCATAGATTAGGGTTAATATTTATTGAAGAAAAGTTGACGAGTGTTGTTTGTTTCGGTGCTGTGTGTTATGATTACTCTACCTTTGCTTTTGTATTGGTTTTCTTGTGTATAATTATGTTTCTTTGTCTTCAACCTTGAGAGTTTGGAATATTTTATTTAAAAGTGTTTTGTTTTTCCTTTTTATTTTTCTTCCACTACTGAAAGAGGGTTTGATTTGGATAGAATTGACCAACTGGGTGTGTGCTGTTTTTTTACTTATCATTTCACCATCATGGATGCCAATGAGAGGGGAATGATGATCAGAATCTTACCTGTAATCATATTGTTTACATGGAAATTTACGCTAAGATGATATTTGTTGGTATCTTCTGGGTAACGGATGCCAAGTGAGGACTCAAACTTAGATTTATGGGGAAGCATAAGAGAACCTAAATCACCAAGCTAAATCTAATAATTGATTTATAATTGAATATAGTTTAGGCTTAAATATAAAATAAGTGTTTAAATTATACTGATTTTCACGAATAGGTGCCTAAAGTATTTTTTTTACTCATCTCAGTGTCTAATGTTACAAACATTACCATTTTAGGTGACTGGGACGTCAACGACGTTAATTTTCTCAGTTAAATAACACGTGTCAAGCTCTGGTAATTTTTAAAATTTTATTTAAAAAAACTTAAAGTATATTTAAAAAATCCCAAACTTTCAAAAATCTTAAAAACCTCCCAAAAACTTTAAAAACAAAAAATATAGTCCTTATAACCATGCCTGCCGCATCTCGTCGCCACCGTTGTTGTCGATTAGACTTTCACTTGGCCACGCCTCTATCGAAGTCTTGTTCCCCGACGAACAATCACCATAAAAACAACGAAATCATCTCCAACGAATGCGACAAACGACGACCATCGCAAAGGCAACGACGACTCCACAGGAAGGCAGACGTCGTACAACTACGAAGATAATAAGAGAGGTGTCGAAGACAGTGGCCATGGCCGGAAACAGAGGTGGAATTAGAGTTAAGGTTAAGATTTGGAGATGGAATTAGAGTTAAGGTTAAGATTTGGAGATTTTTTTTTAATTTTAGAAAAATATTTTTTTTATAAATATAATATTTTTATTTTTTTAATTATTTTAAAATCACCTGAGTGTGACATGTGTCATTTAAAGGAAGAAATTAACGTCGTTGACAGCCGGGTACCTAAAATGATAACTTTTGTAATGTTAGATACCAAAATGAGTCAAAAATAACTGTAGGTACCTATTCGTGAAAAACGATATAATTTAGGCACTTATTTTATATTTAAGCCTATATTATACATGCATACATATTATTAATATGAGATGATTACAATTTAGTATCTGCTTGAAATACTTTCAATCATTTGAGAATGAGCACTCAAACATCCTTGCAAACGTCGTGTTTTAACTCGAGATCTTTAGGGATAACAATTTTCCCTTAACCATTGAGGTCTCTAGGGATATATATTCTAAATTGTAATTAATGCAAGATTTTAAATAAAAAATGAGTTTGATATGTTTTTCATATTTAAAATTTAATAATTAGAAATTATATTACAAAATTATTTATAAATCTAAACTCCAACTCAAATCTCGAGATAAATTTGTAATTCAAATCTTAAAATTTTATCATCAAAAGGTTATTTGAGAATTATTTATAAATTTATCTATAGTTAATTCTAATCATGTTAATGTTATAACTTAACTTATTTAGACTACATAATCTAATAAAAAATTTGCTAAAACTTCTTTGGTGCATGCACTTTGCTTATATTCTTTCCCTAGCCTATATGTCTTCTGATTTGATCAAAATAGTCCCTAAACACCTAGTTATGAGCTTAAAATGCATGGTAAATGTATATCCAACCTTCTGATTAACCTAGTTACGATTTCGTTATTCGAATATAGCATTAGATGTTCGACCGGCCATCTGGTTCGAATAAAAAATAATACAATTGAAGTGTTCCATAGTTTGAAAATTAGGTGTGCGTTTTAAGATAAGTTCGAGAGGGTAAAAAAAGAAGAAGCAAAGATTGAAAGCTAATTCCATGGACCGACTGATATGGTGGGAAAGTGTTGGAAAAAAGAAAAAATATCGACGATCCGTTAAGTATTAAAATTAGTGTTAAAGTAAGGCGTAATCCCACTTTATCCATTACATTACACAGTGGAGTGCAATTTAAAAATACATATATTTCAAAGAATTTCTTTATCTTTTATTTATTTTATTAATTATTGGGTTCCATAATGATTACACCCTATGGCCTGATTTAATTAGTGATGAGAATTAACAGATTAATAATGCTCCCTTCCGAGTGGGAGAACCAGCTGTTGGTTGGAGGAGAAAAGAAGTCAACAAATGAAGAAAATTGATGGATTATGAACAAACTATAGCAGAGGATTGTATACAAGCATGCCTGTTTTATCCATGTACATTCTCTATCATCATCATTAAGTTAGGGTGGATCTTGATAATGGCTGCTTTATTTTGGTGAGGATGTTACTTTGTAGTGTGTATTTTTCTTACATAAATTTATAATTTCTAAAATCATTTTAAATCTAAGGTTTGAATCGATGGGGTTTTAATTTATTTTGCTTTGAATACTTTATGATTACAAGCTAAAGTCTTATTTTATATAGATTATGTTTAGATTTATTCTGGTTTTCATATATATAATCTTACACAATGTAAAACTCTTTTAGTTTTACATAGATTTAAAATCGTTAGATGAGTGAAAACAGATGGCTGAGATTAAAAGTAGTAAATGTGAAGATATTTACTAGAAAAAAGGATTCAATCTCAGCCATCTATTTTTCTCATCCAACGGTACTCCTATATCTATGTAAAACTAAAAGAGTTTTACGTTGTGTAAGTGAATCATAACTCATATATATATATACTATCCACTTACACTGTTAAAACTCTTTTAGTTTTACATTTTTTAGGATCGTTGGATGAGGAGAAATCAAAGATTGAGATTAACTCATTATTTTTTTAGTGAACATCTTCTTATTTTTTACTATTAATCTCACCATTTGATTTTCCCTCATCTAAGCGAATATATATGTATATGGGGCATGATCCTCTTACACAATTTTTTTTTTTTAGTTTTACACAGATCTAAGACTGTTGGACGAGTGAAAATAAATGGTTGAGATTAAAAGTATGAAATATAAATATATTTATTGGAAAAAAATGAGTCAATCCCAGCCATCTATTTTTACTCATTCAGCGATCCTAAATCACTGTAAAACTAAAGAGTTTTGCATTGTGTAAATGGAAATGGATCCTAACCCATATATATATATATATATAAGTTTCGTTAAGACTAATTTTTTATTTTAAGCTTGAATTTTGAGTATTGGTTGTTTTGTGCATTGTACTAATTGTTCCAAGTTGTAGTTATAGGATCATATTGCTTACACATGTCACTTGTGAGAAGGGTTTGACATGAGTCGGATCGAAACGTGTTTTTGGTCGACTCAAATTAGATTCGAATTCAATCTAGGTTTAGGGAGACTCCACCCAAAACTCGATTCATTTTTAGGTAAAAATTCGGAGTGGATCTGATCTTTATATATATATATATATATATATATATATATATATATATATATATTTATTTATTTATTTATTATTTATTTTTATCATATAAAATAAAACTCTGATTAAAAAATATAAAGAACAGAGTATTATTATAATAATATTTAAATATATAAGAAATAATTATACTATTTTCTGAGGATAAATCAGAGATTTTTTACTTTAAACTCAACTCGACTGAACGAAACCTAATATTATAATGTTGATATTTTTTTAAAACAAGACTAGCATACTTTTAATCGAACTAAATACTAAGATAAAATTTTGTTAAATAATATAATAAATTGATTTCTAGAATTGCATTAATAATAAATTGGTTTCAAGAATTGCATTAATAATATAATAAAATTTAGGTTCGGATTAATTTCAAGTACAAACTTTAAATGAATTCGGATCGAAATCAATTCAAATTTAACCGAAATTGGTACCATATGATTCGACATCCTTGTGACAGTATCATATCACTTGAAAGGTTTCTCGGACCTACAAACGAGTACAGAATGAACTTGGAGCTTCAAATCTAATCCATCTTCATATCTAAACCCTATGTTCTCTTTGGATTTTCATACAAAAGACCAGTTGATGAACATGAAGCAGACACAGTGAGCGTTTTCTTCATCATTCAACACTTTCCAAGCCACGGCTCTCTCGTAGGATACCGGCCTCGCCATGCTCGATGAGCAGATACCACCTTCAAGGCACATAAACCCCTGCAAACATACAGCACAGATGAATCAGTCATATGTTTTGCTTCTGTTTCCTTTAGAAGTTTCGGATATCGAACGCATTCGATTGTTATTTGTTGCGCTCATAATTCGGCCGCGAGTTTAATGTCCCGTAGCACTGCAACTTAGCTCTAATTGTTGTACCATACCTGTTGCATTACTCGTGGAAACTCCGTGAATAGGGTTTTCCGTCCGTTCTCGTCGAAGATCTTCTCCAAAGTGATGTCCTGGAGTGACACCAATGTTGTTTCGAGCATGTCTAGTCCGGCTTGATTTGCGAATGTGAAAACCGGTAGTGCCTGCGTATATATTACCGAGCATCAGTTATGGCACGATAGCGACTAGGCAGAGGGAGACTAGTAGCTCGTGTTACCGAGAAGACAACTCCCCGGACAAGTCTAACATATAACTCGACCCAAAGAAAACAGTAAATACCTTCAAAGAGCAGCACAGAATTGCATCCGTGTGATGCCAAAGCATTTTCAGAATGGATTCACTTACTTCATGTTTGAGCAGCTCTGACCCCATATAGCACCTGTCAAGAGATAAACGACCCGCAAATATCGGTCAATACAAATCCGAACAGCGTAAACGATGTTAACAACAAAGCATTTTATCCAGATTTCCGGGGAATTGACGAACAAACCTATAGCTTTGACAAATCCAGCGAGCGATCGTTTGTGCTTCAGGAGTACCAGGGAGTGATCCTAAGCCAGATTGAGATCCTAAGCCAGATTGAGAACCTAAGAAGGAAGGAGAGAGTGCTAATGCCACCCTTTGAACCGAGGCAATGATACTACGGACGTATTGTCGAGCCATGATCGCCACGTTTTCTTGAAGGTGGATCTCGTACACAAACTGGAATGCAATTGTCAGCACAGATTTCGTGCTCCCGCAACGACTAGAACTATCACCAGTTGCTCGGTTTCCGGCAGCCCCAACTTCAAGAGTAGAAGCAAGATCGAGTGTACGATTTGGACTGGATGCATCCTACATCAGATATATGTATTCATTTAGTAAGGAACTAAAACAAAAACAAAAGATAATCAAGCACGGAGTCTTACAACACGCACCAGTCTGGAATCAAGAGGAATGATGCGGAAACCGGAAGCGATAATAGGAGCATCCTCAGAGAACGAGCCATCAATGGGAGCAAAGATGAGTTCAGCACAAGAGCTGACCGCATTCTCATCCACTCCACTACAAAGCTGAGAGATTCATACAACAAAGAAATCATAAATCAACAATAAAATGACAACAAAATACCGGCCCGCGTAGTAAAATAACATCAGCTGAATGATTGTTGGTAAAAACTTAAGTACCTGCAAGAAGAAAATATCACTTGGCATGATCATGTCCTGATAGTGGCCCATGTTTTCAAGCTTAACAACTTCCATGAACTACAACAACAAAAAAGTGAGCAATATTTAGGATACATTTTGCTAATTGATGGCAAAGATTATTTTGTAAGCATCGAAATTCGGTATCTAATTACTCACCTCTTCATGCTCTATCGTGTGAGCCAATGGAATAATGACTTGACCCCCGAAACTTCCTCCTCGAGGCACAGAAAAGCTACACGGTCCGGCTTTGACAGCAGCAGCAGCAGAGTAAGCATCAATACCACTGTCTGCCCATTCTGATCGATGTTCTCGCAAGAATCTGAGAAGTATTGCTGGAGGTACATTCTACACGTAGAATAAAAATAAGAGGTTTAATATCCATAGATCTGATGTAATGAACATACTTTCGACACATCTAGAAACTGACCTGTAATAACATGGATGCTTTGGCACAAAAGAACCCATTGCCCATAGAAGGTGATCCGCTACTATAAGAAAAGTTCACATCCATCATCTTGCCAGGAGATGAGTTCACAAGGAGGGTAACATCATCAACACCGTCGCTTTCCAACATCGACCATCCTTCATCGGTAAACCCATTAACAGCCTCATTAAATCCCCTGGACAATAGAATATGTCAGACTATCATCAATTAAGAATCTATCTACTAATGCAGGGATGAACGAACGTACTTGCTCAATTTCTGACCAAGTGCACGTAGAGCTGCAGGTCTTCTCCCCCAACCTGTATCATTCGGCTGAGATATTTCCTGAGAAATCTGCCTCAGATGACGGAAAGCCTGTGCAAATGACGAAGTCATACCATGAGACATTTTAATGTCTTGGTTTAGCACCCAACTCTACACTCAAAGTATAGCTGCAATGCAACGAATAGTCTTACCGCCATTGTTGTCTTCTGAGCGAGTAAAGTAGAGGACTCGTAAAGCGGCCGCAACACTTCAGGAACACTCAACGGCTACGTGGAGAAAGAAGACATTTGAAACCGTTACCTCAGTGCAATAAAATTTTCTGTGTTTCACAAGGGAAAGCAATGTGATTTATACCTCCAAGTCCATGTGATCAACTATGTGAATGATGGATCCACCCCCTTCACAAGGTCTAATCAGGTAACCACTAGGTAGCAATTCTGCTCTCACAAAATTTACTGCCGGCGGCATACTCAGACCATTTTGAGTGTTGTTAAGTGATCTTTCACATACCTAAGCATCATAGCTTAATTATAATGATCGGGCTATCGGCAAAGGAAAAATGAAATTATGGAAGCTCGAGGGGAAACATACCACAAGGCTACCATCCTCCAGAACAGATGTGTAGCGCAGCAACCAGAAGTCACGAGCTGGCGCCAATGTTGTAGGTGCGTAAAGCTAAAAGAAGAGAACCGAAATTCCAAACTTTTACCATGAGCTATTGCACCATTAATCGAAATCTTCAGTTGCAAATTAAAAGGAAGAAAAATTGTAATCTACCTGCATATAAAGCAGTTCAATGGTTCCACCATTTGCAGTGGACAACGCGTTTATAACATCCACAGTTCGGCAATCACGGTACCATGAGGGCCGATCTTTTAGGATTTCAGCAACCTACAGGTGGGACAAATAATCACCAGTCAATTCAACCAAATATGAACCGAAAAATGTACTCTCACCCAAAAGCAAAAAACAAACTTACTCTTGTAGGATCTAGTCCCACAAGTCCGCATGCACGAGCTGCCACTCCAGTGCAACCATGAGAAATAGCAACGATTCCAATGGAATCCGGACCAGGCTGCATAGGTAAATGAAGACTACTTTGGTTAATTAGCATATTCATATTTCATATTGGATTAGTAAAATCAATTAGCATTACTTAGTTAATTACTTTATTAAATAAATATTAGTAACCAATAGGGAAAGTAGGGTAATGGAGCTGTCCCACAAATTGACAATAACAAGGGTTTGAGTTTTGCTTAGAAGATTAGCAAGGTAATGCACTTTATAATCGACATTATCGATAATGATAAAGTATAGTGGAGTATGGTTTAATATTAGAAAAGAAAGATAAAGACAGGAGAGCAGTAACCTTCATCCCAGGCATTTGGACCCACTCCACAGCAGTTCCAGTTGCCTTTGAGAGAAACTCCGTTAAAGTTTCCTCTGCAATGGACAAAAGTCTAGAAACCATACAAAAAGCACATAAGCAATACAGTAACAAACAAATTTTAAGGGCTTGAATTTCATAGAGAAACGGGAAAGAAAGGGACACAACAATTTCCCACTAACCCTGCAGGACTGGCATCCCTTGGACGATGGTGAGGAGTAATTTGGTGTTGACCACTTATCACCACTGAGTCACTGCTTGTATCTGTGGTGGCTAGGGTCTCCTGCAACACACAAGGAAAGGGCTAAACGTCAATTTTCAAAGCAAATCAAAGGCTTAAAAGGAAAGGGTTCAAAGCAAATCAAAGGCTTTACTTTACTAACATTTTGAGTTTGTTGGCGAAAATAGCCGTTCTCATAAACAAGGTGTGAAACTTGCTTTTGTAGCCTATCATTCTCCTCCATTAACAACTTATTCATAGCAGTCAGCTTCCTGTTCACAGCTTGGAGGCGTGAAGCCTCTTTCCTTTGTTTCTCTCTGCATCTGTTAAACACGATTCAAATATCCCAAAGTCAGCAACCAAATGAAAATATGATGAAATAAATATGAAGAAGAAGAATAAAAAGTTTGGGGCTTTATGGACCTGCGATTCTGGAACCAAACTTTGATCTGTTTAGGCTCGATGTTGGAGAGGATGGGGCACTCACGAATCAGCTGTTGGCGACGCATAGAGCTTGGCTTGGGGCACTCATGGTAGAGCCGTTCCAATGCTTCGACTTGCTCGGGCGTGTACCGCACATACTTCCCGTTGTCCATTGCTATCTTGATCCCATCTTTGCAGGCTGAGCTCACCGCCATCGTCGCTTCTATATACCATCAAAACACGACATACATTAATACATACATACATCAAAGCGTTCATTTCATGAACGCAATGGGATAAGTTTATTTATACCGTTTCACTCCTTGGGGAAACTTCGAGAACACAAAGATCAACAGCGAGACCTCAAAAAAGCCATCCAAAATCTGAACTTTGGGTACTCTTTAGAAATGGAGGAGGATCTTTGTATGACGAAACCTCTGAAACATGTTCCCAAAAAATATCAAAAGCAGCTGTTTCCGTTGGCTGTCTGGGAAGTGATCTTTAGCATATGATGTTGGGTTTTCTTTGTTTTGTTTTTAAGGGGGAAAATGGAGGAGAGAAACAGAGAACAGAGAGGGATTGATTGTGAAGTGGGTGAAAATGGTGGCTGTTGAAAAAGGAAAAAAACTGAAACTTTAAAAGAAGAGTGACTCCTTAATACCATACAGAATATCAGACTTTGGCTTGTTTTTCACATCGTAATCATAACACTGTTCTATTTCTCTCAATTTTTACCCCTCCTTTCTCTGTTTCCCTGTCCTTTTTTAAAACTTTTGCCGTTTTAAGCTTCCTCGGCTCTTTTTCCTCCTACTTCTGCCCTTGCAAACTAAAACTAATTTCATATTTTCTTCATAATTATGATTACCTAATCTATTCATCTATTAATATGAATTTAATACTATAAATATTCATAACGAATGGGATAATTTAAGAGTTAATTGCATCACACGACTTTAATCTAGGACTCTTATTGTAAATTGATCCTTAAACTTTGAAATATTTTAATTTTATCTATAATTATGATTATCATTTTGAATTAGTTCTCAAACTTTTGAACATTTCATTTTCATCCCCAGGTTGTGTTCTTAATTCTAAATTGGTCCTCAAACTTTTTGAATATTTCAATTTTATTCTAAATTATTCGTATATACTACTTGCATCTCTTGTTAATAAAATTATTAGGCAAGCTATATTATTGTATGTTTGAAAGAGAAAAAAACTAGGTTAAACTATGGTTGAAATGGATTACAAATTTGGATGAATTTGAGGATGAAATTGAAAGATCTAAAAGTTTAGGGGCCAATTTAGAATGTGATTCATAGTTTAGGGGATAATTTTAAGAGTTAATTGCATCACACGGCTTTAATCTAGGACTCTTATTGTAAATTGATCCTTAAACTTTGAAATATTTTAATTTTATCTATAATTATGATTATCATTTTGAATTAGTCCTCAAACTTTTGAACATTTCATTTTCATCCCCAGGTTGTGTTCTTAATTCTAAATTGGTCCTCAAACTTTTTGAATACTTCAATTTTATCCTAAATTATTCGTATATACTACTTGCATCTCTTGTTAATAAAATTATTAGGCAAACTATATTATTGTATGTTTGAGAAAAAAACTAGGTTAAACTATGGTTGAAATGGATTACAAATTTGGATGAATTTGAGGATGAAATTGAAAGATCTAAAAGTTTAGGGGCCAATTTAGAATGTGATTCATAGTTTGGGGTTGAAAGTTGAATGTTCAAAAATTGAAAGACTAATTTAAAATGAGAGTTACAGTTTTTAGGATAAAATTAAAATGTTTAAGAGTTTAAGGATTAATTTAAAATGAGAGTCGTAGTTTAGAAATATATGATACAATTAACTCTAGTTTGAACAATATTTTGTGTTTCATATTATAATTTTTATTATTTTAAAATTAATATTTTTTATTATTTTATTAAAATGAACCTCAACCAATATTATTTTAAAAAGTAACCGCCAAATGGTCCATGTAAGTAATACATGGGTTATGCAAAAGGTGTTTAAAGAGCTCACGTTTTGCACAAAGCGAGTTTCGTGCTTTTCTCGCATCTAAATTATTCCATGTCGATGGATCTCGCGTTTTATAAAAGTCTAAGTCCAATCTCGCTTTCTTAAAAAAAAAAAAAAAGTATTCCTACGTGGACCATTTAAGATCATTTTTTTATATAATTTTGGACGATGTTTACTTTTATAATAAATTAAAAAAATAATTTTCTAATAAAAAAGCCAGTTTTTTACATATCAGTACTTTAATTTAGAAGAATATATCAAGATTTATAAAATGTGATTTAACTGTGATTATAAATAGCCTAAAACAGTCCAAAACTCGTAGTATGAAATCTACAGAAAGAAGAATTGAATGTATGGGTTGACGTTTGATAACAAACAAATTATGAAGGAATTTGCATGCGGCCTCCCTTACGTTGCGACATAATAATCAAACATGGGTCCGCTCTCATTTTTTTTTTATTATTATTATTTCTATTTTATTTGAATTATTTTACCTAATTCAAAAATTAAATATTATTATTATTATTTTCATCATACAGAACAATAACTCAAAAACTACAAATTATTAGCAGTCTCAAACTGCACTAAAAACATTAACCTAGTTTGTATTCTTCCCAAGTTTTTCAACCTAGTGCACTGTCTTTAATGAGCATGTAGCTGTTTGGTTGGCAGTACGAGGAAGAGCTCAGAATTCGGTGAGAAAAAAATCCGATCCAATGGAACTAATCCGGTATTTGATTCGAAATTTTGAATATTCAATTTTTTTATGATAATTTAGATCATATATTAATTTTTTTGAATAATCATATCATATATGGATCAGATAAATTTTAATTTTAGATTATTTAAAAATCTGAGGGAAATAATTTTTTAGATTTTAAATACCCTTTAGCCCAATAAATGAGTAACTCACTACCCTATTAAAGCTCTATGCCACTAAAAATTAAGATATTTAATTATTTATTATATGTGAGTAATTATATATAGTAGAGGTATCGAATAAGTTATATTAAATCACAAAATATAAAATTATTTTTCTCAAATTAAATTTTATATTCGGATTCAAATATCCGATCTAGAAATTTAGATATCCGATTTTTTTCAAATCGGATATGAATAATTAGTTTAAGTATATGAAATTTTTGAATATCTAAATTTTTTAATCGATTCGGATTAAATATCGAATTTGTACACCCCTAACTTAGACAAAATAGGACCAAATCCATATAATATGCCAATTCAAGCTAACCCATAACCAAAAATCAATCCAAACTGGAATGATAATCAAATTATTAAAGTATTAAACATACAATAAATTATAAAAACTACCTCAATTTTATTCTAAATAACTAGTCTCTCCCCATATGTATTTCTTTTATATTATCCTAACAGTTGGTTAAAATATGATATCAAATATCAAACTTAAATAATATCATTAGCTGACCCTATTCCCATATGTAATGGGGTGAGAGGAGTAAGGTAGTAGGCTGACCCCAACGTCAGGTTGAGAGCAGTTGCCCGTCCAGCTCAGTTGGTAGGAGCGTAAGGCTCTTAACCTTATGGTCGTGGGATCGAGTCCCACGGTGGACAATTCATAATTCTGACTGTCGAATGTCTCCCACGAAAGTTGCTCTCAACCTGGCATTGGGGGCAACCTATTATTTACCTCCTCCTTACCCCATTACATATGGGAATAGGGTCAACAAACTTAAATAATATCATTGTTATCTCTAAATGTTTTAAGTTCGAGCACTATAGATTGTAAGAATGATTGACTTTTACTATTAATTTTTTAAAAATCTTTAGAACAACTATCATCTTATAATCAACCTTAATTTATTGAAAAAAGAATTTAACTACATAAATTATATTTTCAACTTAAAATCTAGATTGTATATCTTAAAATTTGAAAATATAAAGTATTAATCCTGAAACTTAAGTTTAAAGAATAAAAATAATACTCGAATCGCATAATAAATAAATTTAGTTAATTTTTTAATAAATAAATCACCACTTAAAAGTTTAAAATTTATTTTAAAAATGTTTAAAAAATACAAGGCGTAGCAAATAACTGAATGACAGGTGTCCGACAAGCTGTGGCAACGTGAGGTTGACGGCAGCGGACCGTATCCGAGGTTGTGGTCCACACGAGGGAGATACGATGTGTGGCCCCCGCACGCGTGAAGCCTCTCGTTCGCTTTACAACGTGCTCCTTACTAGGCCCCCCAGGTGTACCCTATTTCTTTAACCATTTATCCCCCATCCTCACGCGCCGCTAAAAGGAGAGCATAATTCACGTGCGGTGAGCGGTTTCAGAAATTTTTCCAATACAAAATGGAATTAATTTCTCAAGTTGTTGAATAATGAATACACAAAATATTGTACTGAGAAATGGCCCTCCAACTTAGTTGGTAGAGCATAAAGTTTTTAATTTTGGGTCATGGATTGAGTCTCACGGAAGATATTTCATAATTCGAGGTCTCCTACGGAAGCTGTTTTAACCTGACGTTGGGGACAACCTACTATCCTACCTCCCCCTTATCCCATTACATATGCGAATAAAGATCAGCTAATTATACAAAATATTGCACTGAGCTTGAGGAAAATGGTCAAAAAGTTGTCTAATTATTTATATATAGGGTTGATTGTGTGCATTTATTTATTGGTTGTCCTCTAATTTTAAATGTTTTACCCTAACTAATGTAGAACGATTTAGGTCGTACATTTAGTTTTGATTGGTGAATCTTCTCGTGAAATTTTTCTACATACATAAAGACTCGAACCTGAAACATTGTTTAAGCTATATCAAATTGCTTACTTAAAGACGAACGTAGTGAGGTTCATACCCATAAATTTGAAATTTTAAAGCCTTAAAATTTTCAAAAATATAATTTGGCCCCCATAAAATTATTAGAAAATCATATTAAGGTTTAAAATTTTAAAATGATTTTAATTAAAACTCTCCCATATTTTTTAAAATTTCTCATTAAGCTCTCAAGTTTTCCAAAAATTTAATTAGACCATTTTTTAAAAGAAAATGTAAATTGGGCTCACTATTTTTTAAAAATTTAATTTAAATATTTATTTTTTAAAAGTTTCAAGTTAACCCCTTAAACACTATCATCAAATTTTCAATAAAAAATATCATGAAAAATGTGTGCAACTAAAAATGTTAAGAAAAGTTAATATTTTAAATTCTTAGTATTTTTCGATTACACTCAATCGAAAATATTATATTTTTAACATTTTTTGTTCCGCTCCTTCCCTACTATTTTTTAATCTTAAGTCAGACTCTCATTCCTTCAACATTCTATATCTTTTTTCCTACACCCCCGTTCCTCCTGTAGGACGGCCACCCTAAGATTTAGAGGATTCAAATATTGTAATAAAACCGATATAATAAAAAAACATGGCAATCAATACAAATAAATTAAAATATACAATTAAATAGAGTTCCCATAATGGGATTCATATGATTCTACCAAGTGCTACAATCAACAAACAAGTAGACAAGAACCAGCGTGTGGTCCAAGTATGTATGGTAGATTCATGTCCCTTGCTCTGTAGTAATAATTTAATAAAAGCCTTTATAAACTCGGCAACGAAGCAAAGCACGCCCGCCCCGCCAAGCACAAGTAAACACGGTGAAAGCGGGGGATGAAAATAAATAATAAGTCTCAATTATGCTGAAATTTAAGAAATAAAGTTTACATAACTTTTTTCCAGTTGTTAAATATAATTATTAGGGCTATTATTAGAAAAATGATAATGAGAGACCTAAGCCTGGGCCGACAACGCATTGATGGATCTACGTAGAGGCCCATAAATACAGGGTTCGGCCCGCTGTTACCCATTTACTAAACGATTATCAAATTTCGAATGATCAAGGTTTAATTAACCTATTTCACAATTAATAGTAATTTAATATACATTTAAATTAAATTATTGAAATTCCAAGTTTAGATTTTTAATTTACAAATTTTTAAAAAAATTTAAAAATAAACTGGAAAAATGAAAGGATAACGACTTAATTTTTTTTAGTTCTAAAACTGAGAAACTTCAGAAAAACAATTGAACCAAAAACGAACTTGGGGAATTCTCTCCCACTACCTTTATTTCTTCAACTAAAGATTTTTTTTAAAAAAATTATCTTAATTTTAGGACTCCTTACAATATTTTTTAAATAAAATTTAAATCTGAATATTATAAACACAATTAATTATAGGTCACCTTTTTAATGACTATGTGTCTCCCAGTTTTTCTTTTTACTACTAGCCAAGCTGGTTGAGACCTTCTAGGGATGAATCAAGGGATATTCGGTTGTGGTCGCACTTTAGAATTTTAAACTTCGGTTATATTTTAGATTTTTTTTTATATTTTACTGATTATTTAATTTTGAAGTTCAAGCATGAACTGAGTGGTCTCCGTGGTAAAGGAACGATTATCGTTCCTTGAGATCCAAGTTGAGCATCGAGAATGTAAGGAGTGTGAGCGTTTAATGTTAAGAGGTTAAGATTTATATTAAAACATATAATGCCTCTTATACTTACTCTATATTAGTAAAAAAAATTGTAGTTTATAGTCTTTAATTCTTTTAATATAACTTATTAAGTTTGTTCCTAACATAAATTTTTACGTCTTACCCTACCATCGTATTGGTTATGGGACCTTTAAATCATTTTAGGTTTGAGTTATCTCGGGTCTGGTTTGCTTTAAAACGTGCCATAACTTGCCTTACCCTCAACCTAGTTATACTCGCACAATATGCCATCGTCACAGTGTTTCCCCGACAATGCCGCTATTCTTCGCTTGTCCTTCAATTTTCCCAAAGAATCTCAACCCCCAAGTCTCTTAAAATACCAGATTTTTGCTTCATTTCTTCACATTAATCCAACCATGGACCCCGTTTCTAGTTCATCATCATCGACAATAACAACCCTACGAGCGAACAGGTTACATCCCCGGTTCAAACCGACTCGACCCGTTGTCGAACGAATAGCCGAGCTCTGCGTCACCCACTTTTCCTCCTCCACAGATCGGATTCCAACTTCTTCGTCTTAGGTGCCACGGGAAATGTTTACACGGTGACGTTATCTTCGACCCTTTCGTGCACATGCCCCGACCGTACGACCCCGTGTAAACACATCTTATTCGTTTTGATCCGAGCGTTGGGTGTCTCGGTCGACGACACGTGTCTCCAGAGGCGGACTCTGAGGCCATGTCGACTGAGCCACCTTCTCGGGACGCCTACGTCGCCGGAAGCATTTGCGGGGGCCAGCCTACGTGAGAGGTTCCACCAGCTTTTCTCCGAGAGGAAGAAGCAGGGCGGGTCGGGGGATGTTAGGGAGATCGAAAAAGGAACAGTGTGTCCCGTTTGCTTGGAGGAAATGGAGAAAGGAGACAAGGCGGCGGCTTGTTCCACGTGTCGGAATCTGATTCATGAAGAATGCTTGCTGAGGTGGAAGAGGAGCCGTGGGAGGAGGTCGGCTAATTGCGTGATTTGCCGTGCAAGGTGGAGTAGTGATCAAGAGAAGTATCTGAATTTGGCTGCTTATATTGGTCGAGACGAGGCTGAAGGCGGCGGTGACGGTGGTGGTAGCAGCCTATGTACCGGATGATTTGTTTTACGTTTTAGCTTTACGATAGAAAGAATGTTAACTATGAAATATATGCCTTTTAACGATTAATTGTGTATATGCAATATTCCTAAAAAATCTTAATGGATAATTCATTTAGTATTAAAGTAGTTTGCTAATTGTTTCATTGATTGAAATAAAATAAAAAATTGACTTACAGAGAATAGTCTAGTAGAGGCAGTTGCTGTTCTCATTTCAAAAATGCCACGTATGCGTTTGGACCAAGATGTGTGAATGCTTTAAGGCCAAGCCCCATTTTTTGAAGGTATCTTAAATTTTTTCAGTGGTGTTTTTCTCTAGTTTTGCTTCATGATCTACTACCTCCAAATATAGGTAATTCGAAGTCTTTCTCTAGTGTAGGAATGGGAGAAGTGGCGGGTGCAGATAAATAAACTGGATTCAAGTGTATTCTGATTTCAGTGCGCTCACCAACAGACTCGGGAGGGCTTGAGAAGTACGTTACAAATAATGCTGGGTAATGCTACTAGTCTCTGCTCTACAACATGCCATTGGGTAGAATTGTACATTTCTCACTCGTTATATACATCAGGCCGTTCACAGTGGTATGTATTTTCCTTGTATTACATATCTCGTAGTGTTTATACATGTTAGCTGGATCTGAAATAATCTATCGATTTAATTACTTCTGTTAGGGGTTAGAAAGTTTGTACAATTTGGCACAAAAAGCATTCAATTGAAACCAATGGCCTCTGCACCTAAGCTGATGGGGCTTATAATTGGAATTCTTGGGAAAATACAGAGGTGACAAATGGGGATAAAATATTAATTTAAAATCTCTGTTAAATTCTCTCTTTGCTTCCTATTTTTAGGTTAAATTGTGATTTTGTCGGTTCTCAGGTTGTTTTAGCAGAATGCTCGAAAGGATTTGGTCCTTGGTAAGCTGTCATATTTCCATCTTCATATCTTTCTGTTTGTTAGGAATGCAATTTTGGAGCCTTATTCGGGGTGCTATTGATTCAAAATATCTTGGGTCCGATAAGCTGTTAGAAGTTATCATGAAATTCAAGCTTCGATGTTTCTGTGCAATCATTAAGATCTATCTCTATATTTTGCTCATCATCAGGATGGTTGCACATGCCATAGAGTTGTTGACTGTTGGGAGTGACCATGAAGAAATGCTTTTACATGACGAGAGTCAGAACTTGGGGGGAATAAGCATATAGGAGCTTCATCGACATGTTTATGCTCAGGTCCTATCCTCACATCCATTAACCTGGCAAGTGAGTGCCAATAACAGTAAGGGTTACTTCATTGGCATATTGTGCCACACTTATGCATGTTTTATACATGGTATGGTTTAGGCTTACCTCTCTAAGCTAGAAATGAAATATGGAGTGCAACTTAACGAACTTAATTTGCCGTCTTTACGAAATCCACAGCATAGCTTCGAATATTATGAAGGTATAAGCATCTGTGAAGGCATAATTTTAATTTGGTGATGGAAAACGTATAAAGCTTGGCATTCTCTTTTGGAAATTGTGTTCCCCAACCTGTTGAAAATTTTGTGGTAAGATGTGATGATTGAATTTGTTAGCATGTCAGTTTAAGGATTCTCAGTGTCCATGTTTAGATTGCTGGAGTACACCACTGGAAGCAAGCCGGAAAGGTTCAGGAGTGTTTTGGCTCCAGCAAGCTCGGGATGAATATCGTCTTAATAGGATAGCTCAGCAAGCTTTCCTTTTCAAGAAAGAATCTTTTATATTCAGAAATTATTTAATTTACGGGATATTATTTGGTCCACCCTCTATCTTCACTGCACTGGGAAGGGTTAATTCAGTTATAGGGTTCGGATTCTAAGACAGCTGGCGGACTAGAGTTCCTACACCAGTAAGGATTTTCTGTCATTGTTTTCAGTTGAATGATCATGCATGCTAGAAAGCATACTGTGTTAATTTACCTCGAGTACTCACTCTTAAGCCCGAACTCATAACCTTGGACACATCACAGGCATAGAGACTTCAAGAAATCGCTTCAGCATGTGTACAACGGAAAAACTACAGACGCTGCTCGGCAGGCTGTGGAATCTCTTACATCGGTACATATTCGTCACGAATCGATTTTTTTTTTTTATCTTTTTATCTTCATCAAGATCATAACAAGAGCAATTGATGGCCGTGGATCTCTTATATACAGCTTATGAAAAACCCTTCCACACCTCAACGCTTTTACCTGCCTCTTCTTTATGATTCGGTAAGCACTGATCTATGTTAACACAGATTGTCGCTTGCGGTACTGTTGAACTTCCATCGCGTCTGCTGCCATGCATGGCTTAATCGGCTACTGTCCTATTGGTTTTGTTACTTTTGCAGTTGAAGCTGCTTAATTGGAAGGATCGTCCCGTGTTGAATGTGTCCCAGACAAATCTTCTATTAACTAAACTACAAGATTTGTCAATGGCTAGGCTCCGGCCGGATTTCATAGAATCCGAGTTACTACCCCAGGCCTTCAACTCAGTTACGCTAGGTCTTGCCACGAATATCGGTCGTGCAATCCTAGAGGAATGAACCCTTTCAAGTATGTAGCCTTTGCCTGAAAAAGATATCGACGGAAACTCGTGATCGATCGTTGAACATTTAATCTATTTTAAATAGTGATCTAATACAGATTAGTCTGACCCAAATCAATTCAATCAAATGCCTAATGAAATGAGGAAGCTGCAAAAGAAAACATGGGAAGATGGGCTGTCCTTATCTGTTCAGGTAAGGATCCCCAGGCTAATTAAATTCAGTGTGATTCTTTGCAATCTTTTTATAGATATCTGAACAAACATCTCTCAGATTCTTCGACTTGTCAAAAAAAAAAACATGCGCCTCAGCGAATTCTTTCAAGAAAACACTGTTTTAAATTCCCTCAACAGATACACTTCTACCAAACAGCACGAGGAGCCTGTCTGATTTCGTTGTCACTGTTTCATTTTTGGGTAAAAACGTTTAAATTATTGTTTTTTTTTTATATTTCTATTAAATTTTTATTTTCATCCTTTTTAGAATATTTATAAATTTAAGTTTATTTCTTTTAAAATTAATTTTTTTCTTATTAACATAAAATTTTATGTACTTCTTTTGATGTATTGTATTCTGAATCTACGTTATCCAAGATGTGTTGCTCTGACGCACGCAAGTTGACACCTATCTCACACCATCAAACAATTCTCAAATTCTCTGATTAATTTATTTTGATATGGTTAATTAAAGCTTAATCCCGATTTGTATAACTATAATTATAATTTGACTGTCGAGTAACATCAATGATGGAAGCTTAATATGATTTTAGGGTTAACTGTATTGAATATAAACCATTAACCAACGAGTGATGTGATAATTTTGTGTTGACGTAAATTTTAATTTGTGTATTGATTTTCTCGGTAAACATTTAATCGTTTTAATTTTAACCATTAACAAATCTTGTTACAATTGATGACCGATGATAGAAAACAATAGTTAACTGGCATCGATAATGATTTGATCGACAATGATCAAATTAATGCACAAATTTAAGTTTAATAACAAAATTATTACATAAATTGGATTTTTATAAAAATAAAATAATCACGTCATTGTGTCATTAACTATTTAACAACTCTAAATTTACTTTGAATGGTAAATTGAAACAATAAAAAATTTAATGACAAACGATAATATAACCTAAATTTTAATGCTGTTAGTTGTAGTTTACCCAAAGATTAATTTGGTTATTGTTGTATTGATGGAGGGGGCGACACATCAACGTCGTCGAAAAGTTGATGGAGATGTGATTGACAAGATCGGACGGCTAATAGTCCAAAGCTTGGATTTAGTGATGTATATCTAGTTGGGTCCTTTCCTTTGGGTTTGATAGAAGTTAAATGTGTCTTTAGGGCCCAATTGCAAACTTCTCGAAACCTTCGATACCGACAAAAACATTTAAAGATCGTCTTTCCTTGCCTTGATATATTATTCAAAATCATGTGTAAACTATGTATTTAGTACCTAAAATTTTACTTTTGATTATTTTAGTACCTAAACTTTCAATTCATACAAAATCATACTGAAAGTTTTATTTTAATACCCATCGTTAACCTTTTGTTTCATTTTAGTACTCTCTGTTAACTTTTTGTTTCATTTTAGTACCTAAATTTTAACGGCATGGTACTAAAATGAAACAAAAAGCTTAAGTATGATTTTGAAAAAAATGAAAGTTTAGTACTAAAACAGAATTAAAGTGATAGTTTAAATACTAAATATGTAATTTACTCTAAAATCATGGACATGTACCTATGCCCAATTAACGGGAGACCCACCAGCTTGCCCTATGGACCCCTCTTGTAAGCTAAATTACATTAGTGGTATCTAAAATTTTAGAATACTTTTACTTTGATCATTACATTTTAATATATTTTTATTAAGATCATTGTCGTCGACTGAATTATCTTAATTTTTAAGACATTTTCACTTCTTTTGCTGAACCTTTAAAATATGCATTGGGAGTCTTTAAATTTTTATCATTATTTATGTAATTTTTCGTATAACAACCGTGGATAATAATGGTAATAAAAGTGATATTAAAGTGCATCAACTCAATTATAAATTTTAATTTGGTTGTATTAGTGGTTTATTAAAGAAATCTAATGAAATCCCAAGAGGATCTTGATCGTGAGGTCTTTTATAAATTATTCCAAGACTTTGGAAATTTGGAGATTAGAATAAGCTTTTGTAAAGAGCTACTATAAGCTAGTTATTTAATTATTATTATCCTTTTAAAAATTATTATTATTATTAATATCTTATATAGTAATATTGTTTTTTTATAACAACCGGTATTCGATCTATTGATCGACTAATCGAGATTGGATACTGCAGAGGCAAAGGCGATCCTCCCAACCTAGTTTTCTCCATTCGCGATTTCGAACCTCTGACCTTGCTTTAAAGATTTAGTGTTTCATCCCACTAGACCAACCAGTTGTTGGTAGTAATATTATTTAT